ATGTACAAATTCAGTCGAATGCTGGATTTTTTTTTTAGATTACAACTTTTTTACATACAAATTTTACTAATACATTACCGCTGCAACCAAAAATGGGGAACCGGCCTTTCAATAAACATATTCAACCGAAAAATGTTATGCTGAGAAGAAAGGGGGCAGAAAGGGGGCACCCCCCCCCCCCGTCCATCCTGATACTACGTGCCTGAGCAACTACAGTTCTGCTCTACTGTCAAGATTAAGAAGTAGTAATTTTGAAAACGATTTAAAGAAATCATTGCTGGAAATTTACCAAAAAATAATTAATGAAATACTGATGGAAAATAAAATACATTTGGCGAAGATTGGTGAGTCAACTGAGAAATTAACTTGTTGACGATAACATACATCTAGGTTGACGGAGAAAGAAAGAATAACTGTAATTAGCTTAGAAAGGAGGGAATAAAGCTTTGAAGCGCACATGTATTTCTGAAGAAGTAATTCCATATCTTAAGACGGGTTATTTTTAAGTGGGGGAAGGGGGTAATTTCTTTAAAAAGGTATCAAAAGACATGCTGTTGGAATCACGAATTTGCTTAACAATACTCTTGTATGAGTTTTTGTCATAAAAGTAAATCCATTAGATCAATAAGTAAATCTGAGCTCCTCTACTTTTGCTTGTAATTAATCATTTCTGATAAGTTCTTATTAGTCTCAGTTCCTGGTTTCAAAATTCGATATAGGAACACATATATATGGTAATGAAGAATGAGTTGATGATTTGATGAATCAATTCACGAATGTTACTTATTTTTTGGTCTGATTAATTATGTGAATTATGTGTATTTCTCAAAATATGTTGGTCCACTAGATCCAAAAAGCTTAGGCTGAGCCTCTCAAATTTTTAACGCCCTTCCCTAGCGCTAAACAATTCAGTTATAGACTATTTGGACTGGCACAAGGGTTTAAAAGAGGAAGCAATCAGTGAAAATGTCAGTTTCCATTTTTAAGAGAGAGGCGTCATTTCAGCAAATGTACACATAGTAAATAAATCCTTGGATTGGCATCGTGGAGCGCCAAATAAATATAACAAATCAAATTGGAGAATTGAAGAAATTCTTTTTAATTATTTGAAAATATCAATTCAATCATTGCGCGCAACAACTGAATTGATGCATCAAATCAAATATCGCCCTTATTAACTGAATTGAAACGCGCATGAATAGAATTAACAAGAGAATTACATGTAATTGATTTGGTTCGCGCGTCTTTTTTTTTTAAATAATGCTCTTATCAATTCAGTGGACGATTATCAATGATTTTTCTCGTTGATAACATTCATGCGCGCATCATTTCAGTTGATGAGCCCATGAATGTGGGTAAATAATTGCTCAGGGAAATTAACATAGACATCCGTATAAATGATTTGTTGATCTCTTAAATTCAATTAAAGATATCTTTATTTATTTACCAACGATTTTCTAAGAGAATTTAAAATGCTCAGCAACGTTACAATTAAAGATTTCATTATATAGATTCAGGATACGTTGAATTGAAACAGGTAAAAAATATGTATATTGGTAGTACAAAATATCGTATTTTAAAATGATGTCAAAGTTCATTATACGTCACAGTTGTAATGCGAGATAACTCGTACACAATTATGGAGAGATAAATCCTGCCCTCCACCCTGCAAGCGGTACCAGATAGCCTCCTGTTTTGAATGCCGTAGCTTTTCTCACACTTTATAAGCAAAATACATTGGAATGTAAATACACTGGATTTAAAGTGCACCGTGCCATTCATTATAAGATAATGTTTTTTTCTTTCTTTCTCACAAATGTACAACTTGAGAAAATGGTAAACTGAGTTTAAAATCAGCAGAGACTATATTTTTCACGGAAGAGCGGCGTAGAAAAATATCACATGTTCTGCATTTCAAAAAAAGTAATGAGTTTAATTCACAATATTTTAAACAATCAAAGGCTTAAATAATTTTCTGAAGTAGGTGAGATTTGTAATTAGAGATTTTAGTTTTAGAATACATTAAATAAATGTGATTTTCCAAACAAACTACAACCTTGTTTGCATTTGCATGTAAGCTTCCAATTGTATAGACAGACATGAGTGAAAAAAAAATCAGTAAAAACTATATTCTTTCTCTCTTATTTAACGATCAACATCATTATTTTGTAACTTTATATGATAACTCCAAAATATATGAAAATAAGAAAAAATTTAAATACATGGAGTATAGAATATACGAAATGTTGATTAGTCGTTATATCTGCTATTGAACTATTTTGTGATATCTAATTAAGGACATACGCAACGTCCCTTACCTATTGATAATTTTTCAAGATATTGTCTTTCCACAAATTTTATTTAAAAATAAATTTTTGTTGTTATGACTACTTTAGAGCTGACACCAAGGAGTTCAACCACAGGCAAAGCGAGTTTTCCCCCCAAATAAAGGAAATATTCCCCAATTATAGAACACGTTAAAAAAGACACAAAATTCAGACGTGTCAATATTCTTAATGTAAGATTATAGTGCCATCAGATGTTCGTAGACAAAAAATCAGCATGCATTACATTGTATCAGGGGTTTTGAAAAGATATCAATTGATGAAAATTCTTATATAATTCAAAGAAAAATATACAAAAATGTCTAAACATATATTTTAGATGTTTTGTTTATCCAACCTTGTTGTTCAATTAGCATATATAGACATTAATTTTTAGCACACAGTTCCTTTAAGTATTGGAACTCTTCAACTCCAGGGAAAAAGACAATGAAGTTCAAACTACGTTGCGTATGTCCTTAACCTAAATTGTTTCTCTCAGTTTGGTACTATTATCTGGTATCTCTTATGTGGTGTTATCTTTTTACGCAAAAGAAAAAAATGAGATAGAAATAGGCATCATATGATTGGAAACAGTAATTTTTTTGTTCTTAATGTCAAGGTAAAAGACAATGACTTTGACCTATCAATGCTGTTAAATAAGACGGTCAATTTTAATTTATACCATCGTTTAATATAATGTCTTCTAGATCTTTGAAAATTTCACTTATTTTTAAATACATGTACAAGAATCCACCCTTAAATCATAGAGACTTATGATATAAATTTTCATTGCTTTTGAAGCTCAAAGAGAACTTATGTTTCATCATCTGGAAACCATGTTATGCAATATATGAATATTTGACTTTGACCTTTTGACCTCACTTCTTTATTTAGGGAGAAAGGGTACTCCAAAATTTTGTTTGATGAATCTTTAAGACATCACTTTTAATATATGGTTTCAGCATGGAAAGACCAATATTACCTCTTAATTATTTTATATGATATTTTAAGTATTATTTTTATTTATTTATATTTACTTTAAAAGATAAAGTGTAAAAATAGTTTTATTTGCAAATGAGGTGCTTTAGAGTTTCCAATTGCAGCTAATAAATACATGTGTCTAATAAAATATGTCAAGAAAAGTCAGATAGACATTTTAATTGTAATTTATGAAAATAAAACGCATTATTTGTTTTTTTTTTGTTTTTTTTTTTTTTTTAATCTAAAGATAAAATCTTCAAGAAACGAATCACATCTAAAAAAGGTATGCTGGAAAATCATAGTTCAAAAAGAAATTGAGATGAAATTGCAACATCCCAAAAAATTCTGCGCATTTTCTCCGATTTAGATTTAATTAGACAGAACTTAATCAAAGCGCAATTAACCCTAATCTTTGATATTCCCATAAGCTCGGTGCGAGTCTATATATATCTGCAGCTTTGAGGAAGGGATCCTAAATTTAATATTTTTAAACGTAACAGCAGAAATTGAACAATCGAGGGCTTTCAATCTCTTTTTCTCCTTTTTTTGGAGGGGGGGGGGGTCTTTATATGTTGTGCTCTGAAATAAAAATCGATTTAAAAAAAAAAATTTAAAAAAAATGAAATTAAATAAATATAAAAATAGCAGGCTAATTGGTCACTGAATATTTAGAGGCCTTTCTACTTTCTAGGATGTTTCCATATAATTTGAATTGAAAAAAGAAGAAGAAACTGCAAGAAAATTTATAAAAAAAAAAAAAAAAAAAAAAAAAAAAAAAAAAAAAGAAAAGAAATTCTCAGTAAACATCGGGTACGGTGGAAAATTTTGTTTGTTTGTTATGGAAAGAAGTGCCAAGTAGAAAATAGCTTGTGTAATTTGTTTGGTGTAAAATAAAAATGCCGATTTTCTGATAAACTTCTTATTTGGGTTGTTTCATATTTTATATGAATTAAGATAATCAGTTTAGAGCCTATGAAACAGATAAGACCTACAGTGGCGAGACTGTTTGTAAATATGGGAAAAAAACTTAGAGAAGGTCGGGATCGGGACTGCTTGAAATAAGAGTCATAAAATTCAAATAAGTATTTGTGTGGGTTTATGGAATTCCATATGCGACAGCCAACTGCTTACTGTTAACTGCTCACTGCCAGCTGCTTACTGCCAACTGCTTATACTGCCAACTGCCACCTTATAGATGATATAGCCTATTTGATATCTTTAATACGCATACTTGAATAAATCCCATGATCGCAAGAAAAAGAACTGCGAACGCTAATAGAAAGATCTTCTTAATTTTAATTAGTCTAAATTTTTAAAAAATTCGACATACATTTTGTGAGCCACCCTAGCCAAAGATTTAATAAAACAAAACATTGAGGCTAATGAAATAAGCATTAAGCTATTAAAGTGACAAATGTGGAGATGTGGTTTGCATAATAACAATGATGGTATCCACCCGTGATGTTTAGTATGTCTCTTTTTTAGTTTCATGTAACAAATCAAGAATTGTTTTTATTGTAAGTTGAATTCAATCTTTGGGAAAACACCATAATGAGTTACTGTAGTGATAGAAAGATAAAACAAAGGTTTAGGAAATTAGAAATACTTTTAATCTAAGTATGAAAATAGGTTCACAAATTAAAAAAAAATTATTTTTTTTATATATGATTCTGCCATTGGTATAATATATTTATGTTAATTCTTAAAAAGCTTTCTCAGCCTCTCCAAAAATCCCATTCTCTCTGTTCTGTTCTTTATTTCTTTCCTTTTCTTCTGCTTTTCCTTCTTCTGAAAAGATATGTGTTAAAAAATTAAACTACAAGCATATTATATACAGGTATTCTAAATAAAACAAAAAATGAATCATATATTTCATATTGAGAAGTGTGATTCAGTGAAAGAAATTTGTACTCACAGATAAACATGTTCCACAGAGGAAGCTGTACCAGAAAGGTTGTCTTTCCTGGGTGTACTTGATGTCAACCTCCATATCTAGATTTATCACCTTTTTTCCTGCTTTCATTCTTTCTTCCTTGATTGTTTGCAATTTTTCCTCCTTCTTTGTCTCTGTTTCTGCATCCTCTTTTCGTGTCTCTAAATTTTCCTCTTTCCCTATCTCTTTGTTTAATTTTTCCTCCTGGTTTTCTTCCTTTGAAATCTGTATCTCATTTTCAATGGCCGACTTTTCCTCTTTTTCTTCATTTGAAGTATCAATCTTATTCTCTACATCTTCTTTTTTCACCTGTTTTTCAGCATCTGATGTCTCTATTTTATTTCCCATGTATGCCTTTTCATTTCCGTCTTCCTCTGATTGCTCTATCCTCTTTAATACATCTGATTTTTTCTTCTCTTTCTCTGCTTCTGGAATTTCTTTCTTCTTATTTATGTCTGATTTTCCTTCCTCCTTGCCTTTCTCTGATGTGTCTATCTTCCCTTCTGTACCTGACTTCTCTTCCATTTTGTCTTCCTCTGGTGTATCTATCATTTCTTCCGTATCCAGCTTTTCTTCCTCCTTGTCTTTCCCTGATGTGTCTATCTTCTTAATATTACCTGACTTCTCTTCCATTTTGTCTTCCTCTGGTGTATCTATCATTTCTTCTGAATGTGAATTCTCTTCCTCCTTGCCTTTCTCTGATGTGTCTATCTTCCCTTCTGTACCTGACTTCTCTTTCATTTTGTCCTCCTCTGGTGTATCTATCATTTCTTCTGTATCCGGCTTCTCTTTCTCCTTGTCTTTCTCTGATGTGTTTATTTTCTCTTCTGTATCTGACCTCTCCTCCACCTTGTTAACCTCTGATGAGTTTATAATTTCTTCTGTATCAGACTTCCCTTCTACCTTCTCTTCTTCTGATCTGTCTATCATCCTTTCTGTGCCTGACTTCTCTTCCATCTTGTTAACCTCTGATCTGTCTATCTTCTTTTTTGTATCTGACGTCTCTTTCTCCTTGTCTTTTTGTAATATTTCTCTTTTCTTCTGTATCTGACTTCGCTTCCACCTTGTCTACTTCCGATGTGTCTTCTGTGTCTAACTTCTCTTTCTCCTTGTTTTCTCTGATGTGTCTCTCTTCTTAACTGTACCTGACTTCTCTTCGATTTTGTCTACCTCTGAAGTGTCTATCATTTCTTCTGTTTCCGACTTCTCCTCCATCTTGTCTTTCTCTTCTGTGTCTATCTTCTCTTCTGTGTCTAACTTCTCTTTCTCCTTGTTTTTCTCTGATGTGTCTCTCTTCTTAACTGTACTTGACTTCTTCATTTTGTCTACCTCTGAAGTGTCTATCATTTCTTCTGTGTCAGACTTCTCCTCCATCTTGTCTTTCTCTGCTGTGTCTATCATTTCTTCTGTATCTGTCTTTTCTTTGCCTTTCTCTGATGTGTCTCTCTTCTTAACTGTACCTGACTTCTTCATTTTGTCTACCTCTGAAGTGTCTATCATTTCTTCTGTTTCCTACTTCTCCTCCATCTTGTCTTTCTCTGCTGTGTCTATCATTTCTTCTGTATCTGGATTCTCTTTGCCTTTCTCTGATGTGTCTCTCTTCTTAACTGTACCTGACTTCTCCTTCATTTTGTCTACCTCTGAAGTGTCTACCATTTCTTCTGTGTCAGACTTTTCCTCCACCTTGTCTTTCTCTGCTGTGTCTATCATTTCTTCTGTATCTGGACCCTCTTTGCCTTTCTCTGATGTGTCTCTCTTCTTAACTGTACCTGACTTCTTCATTTTGTCTACCTCTAATGTGTCTATCATTTCTTCTGTGTCAGACTTCTCCTCCACCTTGTATTTCTCTGATGTGTTTATTTTCTCCCCCACCTTGTTTACTTCTGATGTGTCTATCATTTCTTCTGTTTCCAACTTCTCCTCCACCTTGTCTTTCTCTGATGTGTCTATCATTTCTTCTGTATCTGGCTTCTCTTTGCCTTTCTCTGATGTGTTTATTTTCTCCTCTGTATCTGACTTCTCCCCTACCTTGTTTACTTCTGAAGTGTCTATCATTTTTTCCGTATCTGACTTCTCCACTTTGTCTTTCTCTGACGTGTCTATAATCTCTCCTGTATCTGACTTCTCTTCCATCTTGTCTACTTCTGATGAATCTATCTTCTCTTCTGTAACTGATCTATCTTTCTCTTTCTCTGGTGTTTCTGTCTTCTTTGTTTTCATATCTTTTTCTATCTCTGATATTTTCTCCTCTTTGCCTTCTTTTGTTTTCCCCTTCTTTTTTGCGTCCCACTTTTCAAGCTTTTGTTCAGCCTCAGACGAATCTCTCTTTTTTCTCTCTCTCTGATTTTATCACTGCTTTGTCAGCCTCTGATTTCGCCTCCATCCTTTCTGTTTTTAGCTTGATCTCCTCTTTTTCTGTTCCTGATTCCTGTTTATTTTTCCCTTTTGTCCCTAATTTATCTTTTCTATTTTCCCTCGTTTTCCCATTTGTGTTTAATCTCTCCATTTTCAACATCTCCACTTGCTTTTTCAATATCTCTTTCTTAAAGTTTTCCTCTTCTCTTTCCTTTCTTAATTTATTCTTCTTTGTTCTCATTTTCTTCGGTTTAATATCTGTTCGTTGTTTTGCTTTTGTCTTTATTTTTTCATCCTTCTTTTTAACTTTCACATCTTTTAAATTCAGAATGACCATATGTTCTTCCTAAAAGTTAACCAATTTAAAAATAAATAACTGATTCCCTTTCAACTCCTGTACACAATTCCAAATGTGGTAAATAAAAAAAATCACCTACCACAGTTTTCTTAGTCTCTTCCCCGAAATTCAGTTGGGTTTCATTCTACAAAAGTAAATGTGCATTGATTTTTAATAATTCGAAACATTATTTAGGAAATGTTAAAAACGTGGTTTTGATTATCAAAGAAAAATTTGAGGGGAAAATCGCTATTTCCAGAGTGAAATGCATTTTCAGTAAAAACCCCCTTTCTCCAGATTTGAGGAACAAAATTTTAAGAACCAATTAATCAGAAAAACGAGAACAACATTTTGGGAGAGAGACTTTTATGGTATATCTCACCTTTTCTTCCTTTAATTTCTCCTCTTCCACCTTTTCTACCATTTCAGCCCAGCTATAGTGAAATTTAAGAATGGCCAATTTCTCATCCTGGAAATAAACCATGAAAGCATGAATCCTTATGCAATATGAATTATTACTTTACTTTATACACCTAGCAACAAAGTTTGATTCCTTCGTGTACTTTGTAGCCCCCTCCCCCCTTCTGTGGGTTTTTCATATTTAATAGCTGCACTTACCACACTTTTAACAGCCTCCTTCCCAAAATCCGGTATTTCAGTTTCGTTCAGCAGAGACAAGAACACATATTCAATTACAAGAAACATTTAAAAAAGAATTTTATTTCAGCTTCTTATAATTTTAAGGGGGGGGGGGGGATTAGTATGTAAATATCAGGCGTCGCGCATATAAAATATGTATGACATCATATATAATTACCTGGTGAAATTTATCATGACTGAAACTGATATTAAATTTTCAGTTGTTTTAGACATAATCCTTAAAAAGTTAAAATTACCTGTGAGCAAACTAAATCAAAACCCTAAGCTCACGCCCACAAATGTTCGAAGAACATATTTTGTCTGTGACTAGCCTGATAACTAACCTGGTTAACACTTAGCATATTTTTTTCCAGACACAATTTCACTTTTGCAGAATAGAATCATCGACAAGAGTAAGACTACAATTTTCGAAAACATCAAACATACTGACGTCATAATTGATATTGTGACGTTAAAAGAAGTTTGACGAATCAGTGATCAGTAGTTTCTTGTGTAGGCCTACTCGTTACTAATATTTAGAGATACTTAGAGATTTATTGAACCCCCGTTGCAACATTGGTCAAAATTTGGCTGTTATACCCAACTTAACAATTCCCCCATTTCAAGTCTATATCAACAAATGAGTTTTATAAAATTATTGCTAAAATGAATAATCATGAATATATACGTTACACAGTACATATAGAAACACATTATAGAAATACACAGGTTTCTTTATTAGACAAAGTCCTATTTCACCTACATGTACTTTATTTTTCTGAGTTCGCGCAAAGTAGCAAAATACGCCAAAAAATCACATTTTCTCTCCTAAATTTCAGACCGGAATCAATTACATTAAAATAAAAATGCAAGATACTAGTATTCAAATACATGTAAACGTAAACTATATTCCATAACCATATTAAATCACTAACCTCATCGCAGATATTCATCCCGTTTCGGAAATATTTCCACAATAAATAATCTGTCACATATAAGCACAACAAGGTTCCGACATTCGTTGCCTACACTTTTGGAAATTGTGACGTCATAATAATCTTGGCGTCACAAGAGCTCTCTCTCTTTGTGTATGTATGTTCGTGTGGTACTGCAACACGCAGTAACCTACCAAAGAAAATCAGGCGCGGATCCAGGATTTTTTTCCCGAGGGGGGGGGGGGGGGGAGTATGCATTTTTAAAAGAAAAACCTGACAATGAAAACTTGAAATGATATTTAATAACATTTAGAAGTTTTGACTTCAACAATGGAAGCTGAAGAACTTTAGATCCTCCTCTCAAAGCTGTTGCCATCAGTTGTCTCGAATCACTTTCAGGGGTATTTCAGTGATCAGTGTTAATTGCACTTCTACTGAGTTCAAGCCAAAGCTTTACCGGACGAGTTTTCTTGCCATGAATATTAGAAAAATGCTAATAATTTCAAATTTGAAATAAAACCAATCTCGATAATAAATAATCGATACAAATTTAAAAAAACAAACAAACAAACTAAATGACTGTCTATCTCATGCACTTTCCACTGAGAAATGCATTAATGATTTGATTAATTAATAAGTTCAAATAATTTGTGAACCATATTACACCAGTCAATCTAGTACTAGTATTCTCGTGATATTTTTATTATAACTGTGGTTGAAAAATTATCAGTTTTTCTTTAAATTCACACTTTTACCTCAAATTTATCTATAAAATATTACTGTCTGATATTTCTTTTCTTTAGGTAACTTTTTCTTGAGTAAATTTTCTACAGGTTGAAAAAAAAGATATTTTTTATCTTCATAAGTAATATATTTTCATTTTAAAATTTTCAAATGTCAATCTGATTCTAGTGTTACACACAAACAGAATGACAGACAGACGGACGAACAGACACAATTTGAAATACCCCACGCTTTTTTGGGAAAGCGGGGCGGGGGGGGGGGGGGCATTCACAACAACAATAATATTTATGGAACTATGAACGAAAGGAAAATGAACGAGTTAATGAATGACGTAGACACCGGAAACGGCGAAAATAGCGAAAGATATGAACTGATGGAGAAGTGTGGTAAAGTTCAGCAGAAGGTTTCTTGTATATTTGAGACACATGTAATTGATGAACCAGCTAGTAAGAGGAAGTTTCAAGGCTATAAAGTGATTGCAACTGATGTAATCAAAAGTGCAGCAATTGCAAGCAGCATAACCGAATCAACAGCTACTGAAAAGCTGGACGGGACATGTGTATATATTGCAGAATGGCAGGGTAATGTTTCATCATCTTATTTTTGAAATGAAGATTAAAAAGGATTAATCACAATTGTCATAAACTCAAAACAATATGGGCATAAATAAAAATACGCGACATTACATTCATTACACAAGTCCACAGGTATTTGGATCTTGGTTTATCCAGTCCAAAGACTATTTCTACCTACGTAGCTAGTTATAGCTACCTACGTATTTAAACCTACTCCAGGTAGCTATTTTATCTACTTTTTGCTTTACTTGCATTTTGTTACCAAGTGCAGGAACGGTGCAATATGGTGAGTACCAGATTTCTTTATACAGTCACACTGACGATGAATACGACAAAAATTTTGGCCAAAAAATTATTACAGTGGTGCTGCAGTAATCCGGACGCTTCACCTTCCGGACGATATTTTTTTGGAACCGGTTTTTTTTCCAATTTTTACCGGTCTCATTAATCCGGAAATTTGCATTCTGGATCCAGACAGTCAATTTCTACTACAAAACGTAATATTATTCATTGAAAAATGAACGGTACGGTAATTTTTCAAGGAATGACTTTTTCACACCTATCTTGCAGTAGAGATAATTGTTGTAAAAACATTGTCCGTGAAGTCGATTTGAAGGTGGTACCTGTGACCTACAAACAAAAGCGTCTATAATTAGCATGTGTTTACCCCAAATAAAACGCATTATATTATGAAGCTTGAAGAATTTAGTTTATACTGTGCATTAATTAAATAATAAATGCTTTCAGAATGGAATTAATTGCTAACGGTATATAAATTTATGAGAATTTTGGAGAGTTATAAATAAAATGAATAATAAATCACAAGAATTTGTGTGGTCTTAAGTTGCGCAAGTTTATAAAAATACGATTTTCCATTTCTCAAAACAGACATATATTTGAAACGATTTTTTCTTTTCATAAAACTATTTATATTTTATAAGGATACATAATTCAAGAAAATATATATTTAATGCACTACAGTCTATAAACGAACATTACTTTAGAAAAGAAATATGTAGCTGGCGTTAGTTATAAATGACAAAAACGTTTTAATTTTCAAAGTATATAACTTAAAGTTTGTAGAAAAAATAATTATAATCATGAATATGGCTTGTGTTTACATTGAATATTTACAATACATACATGTACACTGATTACACGTGTTTGCGTTAGCTTACAGTGTTCAGTTACTTACTTTCTCAGTAGTGAAGTCAGGCTGGAATTTTGCATTCAAAAAAATATGATCCACTGATAAAAATAGAGCAACCAATTTTTTTTATTAAATGCTTATAATAAACTAACAATCAACTGATTTTCAATTATGATTGATAATTAAAACACTAGTTTTATATATTTATTTTTTTGCTTTTATAGGTCTACCTTGGCTTTGGGCTCGTTTAGACAGAAAACCAAACAAAGCTGGAGATAAAAGATTCAAACAATTCCAGTTTCTTCATCAAAAGTGGGAACAAGGACCAAAAGATATACCTGAACCCACATTTGAGTGGAACATTGAAAAAGATTTCAAAGTAAGAGAAAAATACATTATAAATAAAGGGGCGTCGGCAAAGGGGCGGCAGGGGCGGCGATTACCGCCCCAATAATTTTGCGAAAAAAAAAAAAGAAGAAAAAAAAAAAAAAAAAGAAGAAAAAAAAAAAAGAAAAATGAATTTTAAATGAGAAATACGGAATTACAAAATTTGTAATGGCAGTATCTGTGGTCAATGGAGCGGCAAGAATAACGGCATTCTGTGGTCAATGGAGCAGCAAAGTATGAAAGCTATACACAGACACAAATTGGGATGTACGTGTATATACCTGAACCTGGCATGCATAAACAATAAGCATAGTATTCATTGCTCTACTTGCAAGTTTGCGAATTCTTCGTCAGGCCCACAGCTAGCAACATTTTTGGAAATTCTATTTTTGGGGGCGGGGTGGGGATTCTCTAAGTTTCTGGAATTTTTTTTTCTTTTCAAATGCTGGTCCGTGGAATTTGCCAAGCAGCGTCTAAATGAATGAATTTTTACACATCGAAACTTAAGCCAAAAAAAAATTCTCTGAAAGAGTGGAGAAATTGGGCAAAAATTGGTGCCCCCCCCCCCCTTCCCTTGTGTATAACAGGCCTGTTCATTGTCTAATGAATTGGTCGATCGATGTTTGGGAATCTTTGAAGAATCGTAGTTGTAAGCAAAGTACTGGGTAAAAATTACTACTTAAAACAACTTCAGTTGTTTTTTTTTTTAATAATGTCATACATATTTCAAAAATGGAGGGATTTTGAAGGATTAATCACCCTGTTCATTCGACCAATTCATATTATGCATTCTTTCGCCGAGTAACAATTATAAGTTTATAATTATTATACAAAAGTAGAAAATTATATGTATTTTAATCTTTACCTCGTCATTAACCCTTCTAAGTTCTTTCTATGCTGTTTTGGAAAAAAAAAAACTAGCTCCTACATATTTAAAAATATTCCAGTTTTGTTTTATTTATAGTACATGTAACTTAAAATACATAAAACTTTTTTTTGGTTGCATGTTTAATTGTTCTTTTTTAATCAGAAAATAATTCTTAATGAGGAAAATATCAAGATTTTGGCAAAAATTTTAATTATTTAGTTTATGTAACAAAAAGTTGGTTAGCTCCCCCCCCCCCCTTTTCGATCCAGTTTGCCTCCTCAATGTCAAATACTTGCCGACACCCCTGAAATAATCTTAGAAAATGTAAAATATAACAATGACCCTTGTCCTTACAACTGTATACATTGTTTATTGGGTAATTTGGCTTCTGGAACATTTGCTGAATTTGATACAGAAAAGAGTTGAAATATTGGTGTTTTATATTTTGGCAGATTTTCATTTAAATACTTTATACAATAACTCTCTATAAACTATGGAAATGTTGTTCTTTATATTTAGGCTTTTTTTTGTATCTAACCCCCCCCCCCCTTTCAAAACGACAAGTTTTGCAGAGTGCCAAAATTACCTGATATTCAGTATGTTTCTGTTTAGTGGATAAAGTTTGTTAGCTCCTACTTATGGTAATGTCTTTAATTCCCTATCAGGAGGTTCCAGATCATTGGAGGCCAGCTTCTGATGTAAATCTGGTAAATGGCCAACCTCAACCAGACAAAAGTAGACACATTCCAGGTAAAAAATTAAATGACTAAGAATATTATTAATTACTCATATTGGCTGGCTTTAAGATATGGAAAAGAGTAATGAAATTCAATAATATAATCAGGAATATCAAAATCCTTTTGAACTTAGTCTTAAAAAAGAGGATTAAAGTTCAAGTTCTTAAGAAAATACTGTTAAATATCATTATTTTGTACCTGATGGGTCCAAGAAAAAACAAAAAATGAAAAACAAAATCCATTGATCCAAGATATTGAGGTTAAAATACATAAAGAATAATAGATGGGACTTGTTGGGAAGTTTGATAACAAAGTTCAGCTCTTGACGGAGCTTATAATGAACAAACAGAATTAAGGGATATAATTTTTATTGCTGACAGGTTGGGTTCCCTTGGAAAAGAAATCAAGACAGTACTGTTGGCATGAGTCTGCTGTGGACTTAGACAGAGGGCTTGGGTTGTTTTTAATGTAAGTAGAAAAGGATAAAACACTGGTCTCTACAATTACAAGTACATACATATGCAGAGAAAGATCAAAAAATAAAAAATTACCATGATTTCCAACAATATGATCAATTTAAATTATACTGAACATCACCAGGTTTTCATGACACCTTATTTTAAGAAGAAAGTCATTTGTTATTTATAAGCAAGATAAAATTTTCACATATTTTGATAATTGTTTTATATGATCTTTTATAATAAAATTATACACTAGGATTAAATTTTCTCAAGCAGATAGCCTCGTGTAATTATGCCAAAATAAAGTTCTTATGAAAAAAAAGTAATTTAAATTACAATATGAGAAATCATTTGCATTTTAAAAAGAAAAAAATACATGTGCATGTACCATAAACATACTTTTTAACGTGGGGTCATAATTTAGCAGGTTTACAATATCTGTTTGATCAGCGAGTACGAAGTTACACAGATTTCTTGAATTTCCATTGTATGCATAAAATGTAGTCAAGCATTGATAAAAGAATTCAAAAGCATGTGTATACATATTAATGGCAAACACTATTATGGTTACACAGAAAATGAAAATTTGTTTCATAGAAAATTTTCTATTCGCTTATTGGCAATTAAGACCATAAGTATTTTATAAAGTATAGATGTCTATTACCAATATAGCCTTTAAAAAAAAAACACATTGAAAAACTGAGTTGATCAATGACCATGCATCATTCATATATAATAATGATTAGGAAAACTTTCATTATACTACAGAATGAATTTTAAAAAGAAATATCTGACATTATTGATTAAGCATCTGCAATCTTTTAATTAGCTCACGGTTGTCAAGGTGATGTAGTTTTCTCCTGATCCCCTAGGATCGGCATTCCAGGTTCAAATTTTTGGAGCAGGTCCAATTGCTAAGTAGTTATAACCCTGAACAATAAAACATCTAATGTTGCTGTATCTGAATTATGTTTTCCAGATAGAGAACTAGGTTAAGTTTATGGAGTATTTAATCCCTATTTGGAGGGATATATCTAAAGATTAATACCTGGTACTTATTTTTATATTCTCTCTCAATGCATCCAACTAAATCTAAATTAATTCTAAGTAAGAATAAGTAAGACCAATATAGGAATGTTACTTGCTATCCCCTTTATTAAAAAAAACATAGTAATGCCAACTTCTTATTAATGACTTTCTGACTTTCCATTGGGTAATTTTCTTACACATGTACATGCACTAGTATTCAGTCCATTTTTTTTTTGTTATCAAATATAATATTAGTATCTATATGCCACATTCTTCTGCATGAATATCTATATGTATCTGGAGGTTAAAGTGAGAGTCCATAAAAGTATGAATAACGAAAAGTTATAATTCATAATTACATGTACCTAGTCATGTTCTAGTTGATATATTTTGAATACTACATTTGACCTGTATTTTATGGATAAATGGCCAATGTGTAAAGTTTTAGAGCAGATCTATTTCAAAGTAGCTAAAAGTCATACCTGAGCTAAACTTGCATGGATGATGTGTGTTGAATAGTTATGCATATTGTGAGAACTGCTTTAAAAGTTGCATCTGACATGTTATGCATTTTAGCAATATGCCTAGATGATCCACCAAGGGATGTGAGTTACCAACTTTGCTTAATCTGACCTACATCTGAACATGTTTGAAGTGTTCTGAGCATGCCAATTTCAATGAAAGCATACCACTGTCGAGATACTAAACCACCTTGCAGGAATAATGTAAAATTTGATGCAAATTGCATCTGACCAATATTTTCAAGTTGATTGGCTAAGGTAAAAATTTTAGAGTTCATTTTCCAAATAAGTTGAAGCCTTTCCAGGACCAAACTTGAATGGTTGATATGCATCCTTGCTTCACATACATTCAGATGAAGGCATTATCTGAATCAATCTTGCAGGAATGGCCAACCGTTTTACTTATACTTACTACTTACACTGATCGAAGTGACCCATATTTCAAAATAAGTGACCAGTTTAACATTTTTGCATTGGGCCCTTTCCTTTTTAATCATGCATATAAAACCTTATATTGAACAGATTTATATGGATGATGGATCAAGGGATGTTGATTATTTCTAAGTATTAATTAAAGATGTAGAAAGATGAAATGCACAGAAGCATCATTTTGAGCATTCATTTGATATGAGACTGCCTCGCTTTATTAAAGATTACATTTGTCAATGTGAGCTAATAATCTTGATTATCTTTGTTTTAATTGCTTTTATGTACAAACTATTGTCATTAATTGTCTCCTTATACTTGGAGTTTCATACATAAGTGATTCTTACAGGCAGAAAGAGGGTTGTCCACAGTGTCTTCAGATACAAGCTTTGCCTCTACGAAGTGCCCTTGGTCACACAGCGGAGCTGATAGGAACACATATTAATGGAAATGCCTACAGTAAGTAAAAATTACAGTTTATGTAAGAAGCTGCTGGAATTACCTCCCTTTAGCAGCAGCTGTGTGATTTTCCAATTAGAACTTTTTTTAGCTTTGAACCTCAGGAAAAATTACTGTGTAACTATGAAATTTAATACCAATTACACATACATTTTTTGTATTTAGAAAGTAATTCTATAAATAATTAATAAACACATTGCTATTCTTTAAACAGGTACGGTAAATATTGATTTTGACAAAATTTTTGTCACAGGTATCGGCAGCAAAAGAAATCCTCTCCACTTTCTGGTGATTCATGGTTCGATACCTCTCTCAGATCCCCCTGAAATTTCTCTCACAGAGATCCAGAACTGGTTCTCCTCTACACAGGAGGGTCTTGTTGAGGGTGTGGTCTGGCACTGTCAAAATGGAAAACTGTTTAAAGTAAGAAAATTATGATACATGTACAAGTAAATTATGATACTTGTATGAGTACTGTGAATGCTGAATTTCAAATTATCCTTGCCAGGATGCAATGTATTAATTTTGTATTTCTTGTATATATGAAGAAATGCATTCAGTTATTTTCAGAAAATAAGAAAGTAAACTGTATTTCAATGATTAAAAATTATAGTGACATATCCATTTCCCAGTATCTCATATCAGACATTGCTAACTTAGTACACGGGTGTATACTCACAACATGAATATATTCCTCTTAAGTATATATTTTTTGTTTATTTCTAAATGTTGTCATGGTGCTCTTTTTCTTTTCTTTCTGTATTATATTTAAATTTTGTGTTAAAAGTGGCATATAATCCCAATGGGCTGGGTTTTTGATATATTTTTAAACTGCTTCTTAATATAATGTCTGAGAATATACACTCGTCACTATGAAAAAATGAATAACATACTTTAAAAGAAAATATAATAGAAGAGGTTAACCTTCCAAAGTACAGATCTTGTTTTAATCAACTTTTCAAAAGGATACCTATACATGTAGAGCAGAATAGTGAATAAAATTCATAGGTATGTTTTGGGGTTTCCTGTTTTGGTACACAATTTTCTGTTGAAGTGTTTAACAGGTTGGGAACAATCGCCCAAATAGGGTATAATAACCCATCTGGGATATAATATCCCAAATGGGATATAAATTTACGGAGCAAAAAAATAAAAAAAATTTTATTTTGGCTATAAATATCATAAATCCACATCAAAATACTTTAAAAGGAATAACTTTTGGCAAGCAAGTTTTTCTGCAACCCTACGAGTTGTTAGATTGATCCCCAAGAAGTTTACGAACTTCCGAGGGATCAATCTCTTAAACAGTGGTCATACAGAAAAACTTGCTAACCAAAAGTTATTCCTTAATTTATAAGTATCTTGATGCGGATTTATGATATTTATAGCCAAGGTAAAAAATTTCATTTTTTGCGTTGTAAATTTATATTCAATATGGGATATTATATCCCAAACGGGCTATTATATCCCATTGGGCGATTGGTCCCAACCTGTTTAATTCTCATGAATGTATCTCTTTTATAGATTCATAGACACCATCTAAATTTACCATGGCCACTGAAAGACACAACCCCAATTTTTTCTCAGAGAAGAGTGGAAATTCTGGTAGACAGTTCTAATTTTGAATCAGATGAAAATGTTAATACTGCGTTTCAGAAACTGAGTAGAATTTTCAACAAGAAATGTGATTCTATATTAGACTTGGATCAGCTGTTAGACAGTGATGGGGAAAAATGAAAATAAATGTACATGTAAAATAAATTTTCATCACTTTTGTTTCATTTGTCATTTGAAATTGTAATGTTATCAATTATTTTGGTTGAAAATTCAGTCATAACAATATTTTTTTTTTGGCCTGTAAATATTTTAATCTACTTAAATATCCCTATATACACTGAACAAGGAAGAATTTTAAGTCCATGGTAATCTTTATAAAGTAAGGGTGATCTGTTAACATGATTTAGTATTAAATAAATGATATCTTTGATCTCATACACAGTTTGTAACTAATTTAACTTCAAGTATTGTTAACATTATATACACAGAAAAGTAAAGCAAGTGTAAAAAATATATCGTATACTTTTTCTTCTTGGATTTTTTTTTCTTTTCTTTGGACTCTTTCTTAATTGTGGAAATACTTCAAAGTGCTAAAAATATTTTTGCGGCCAGTTTCAATTTCATGCTTTGCATCAATTTAACTTGTGATATTATATCTCAAATTGAAACACAGAGAACTCTCTATCGGTTTTACATTGATTAAGATTTTTAAAAAAAAATTGAAATTCCCTTATAAATGCTTCATTTCAGTAGAACCTTTTCTTTTTTTTTCTAAACCCCCAAACCCCCCATTTTGAAAAAAATAGAGGCTACGTGTACGCGCGAGGAGGAAGCTTAAAGCCAAACAATGAATTTTTTATAGTCTATCATTTCAGTGCTCAATACATGTATTTAATGTACTAAACAACATTAAAATGCTCTTACAACATCATGGCTAAATGTTTTGTAAATCAGATGTTCCGTAAAAAAAGTTCGAATTTAAATAGATACCTGTGTATTTCATCTGCATATTTCTCATTTTGAATCTCATAGGATTTTCATGATGTTGCAGAAAGAAAATTATTGTGTCTAGCCATGTAAATTGATATATATTTAGTTACATGTATATATCCATTAGACAAAAAGTGAAAACGATTGATGAGAGTACTCAATTCCCCTATCCCCCCCCCTTCCCCGCGCAAAATGAATGATGTTAAACATTGGAGAAAACGGGAAACATTAAACATGTATATGTTCTCGTGGTTTACTGAATAGCAGTGAGCTGCTAAATGAAAAAGAACAAATAAATAAAAACCAGATAATATGATTGACGTCGGAAAAATTTCCTTTACAGTGTTCAAAAAAATAGGTAGCATATGTGACTTTTCATTTTACAAATCACCTTCTTCTTTTTGTTTGTAACGTTGAATTGAAAAGTTCTTAGAATATTTCACATTCAAACTTTTTCAACAACTCTCACTACAACTTTTAGGTTGTGATAATGAAGATTTTATGAACGAGTTAACAAATTTTACGAGAACGAGTCTTCCCGCGAGAGTTTATCAACTTCCTTAGCAACGGTTGGTTTTCGGTGGCAAAAATAGATTATGGTTATGATATAAACATTTAAATAGCCATGGATGCTGTTGGAACTTTAGAATTATCGTAAGTACAAATTATTTGTCGATAAATGATGCTGCTAAAACTCATTTTTAGAAAAATTACGATAGCTCGCCAAGTCAACAAGTCTGCATAAACAGATGAAGCATCATCAAATTAACAAAACTGACACGAAGTGAAAATCTTGGCTGCACTCTAGTATACACAAAGATTGAATTAAAGTAGCTGAACAATTTCTACTAAATTAAGGGTGCTTAATTTTTTTTGGCTTCATCGTGGTAATGATTAGCTGATGATGATGCAGTCATCTGTTTGCGTGCTTGATTATGATACTGGTACTCAAAGACATATTTTTCTTTTATTGTTATTTTTCAAAATTATGATTACATAAAACGTGTTTATTACCATATCTTTAAATTTTTTTATGGATGGCATAGAAATATACTTACTTGGATTTTGTGTATATCATAATAGGTGGGCACAGGGGTACAGTGGTGGCAAAATTGGCTACATTGATAAAGATGTGATCTGCTACCAGGCAGGAAGTAATGTGAAGTTTATAGCAGAAGATGGAGCAGAGACTGTGTTCAACTTCAAAGGAAATGGAGTTGGACCATTTGCAGTGCATCCAACAAATAAATGTTTTGCCGTTGCAGAGCAATGCCTCAATCCAAAAATTACTGTTTATGTGTATCCAACTTTCAGACAGGCTGCAGTTCTGAAAGGTTTGTGATAAATAAAAATTCTAATCATGGGTAGCTTTTGACACACCATATTGAGTAACATTTCAAAGAATTTGATGATCTGTGTAAATGAGAATGGTCTGTAGCACTGCCTTAAATGAAATTCACACTAAAGAGATAAATTTTGTGAGCTTGATTGAAATGAAAAAGAAATTGATTATGGAATTGCTTTCTGCAGATGGAGCTAAGCTGGAGTACAGAACGATGGCTTTCTCACACAGTGAATATCTTGCAACACTCACTGGTATTCCTGAATTTCAGCTCATTCTGTGGTGAGTGAAACAGAATATTGCAAATATCCAGAATGATATACAGAAGGCATAACTTTTCTGTAAACATACCACTTCAAGTCTGTTATTGTTTAAATATATTAGGTCAAAAACGGATATGTGATATACCAGTACAGGTTATGTAAATTGTGAAGAATGTCCTCATTTTATGAATGAATAATATGTATCGGCATTAGTTACATGTACACTGTATATGATTTTTTTTTTCATAAGAAAACAATTGCTGCATACAAAGTGATATGAAATGACAAGCTAAAATGAGAGATGCACATGTCATGTGTTTCCTATAGTGGCAACTTTTTAAATATTACTTTCCTAAAGTTAATTATATTTTCCCTCTATTTTAGGCGGTACACAGATGGAACCAAGTTAACAACTGTAGACATTACATCAGATCCAGTGACTTGTTTGACCTTTAACCCTGGAAACTGGAGGCAAATTTGTGTTACCACTGAGAAACTGATGACAGTTTGGAACACAGAACAGAGTGATAATAAATATGTTTTACTGCCTCAGTAAGGATTTCTCTACTTTTTTATTGGTTATTATAGTATCTTCAGAATTTGCTGTCTAGGAAAATTAAATCATAAACAGTACTTACAGATAGACAGCATAACATACATGTATGTATTAGATGAAAAAGAAAGAGAACATTATATTTATATGGTCATATAAAGCTAATGAAATATAATTTTGATATATGTACTAAGTAACACACAGTGAAGAAAAAAAGATCCCATCCTGCTTGTAACTGATGATATTTTTATGTAATGTTGTAATTTTCTATTATAAGCATATATTATTTTAAATAGAAAAGTAAAATTGCCAGCTGAAAATCCATCACTGAACTTTGATGACGAAAAAGAGAGAGATATTCCTACCCGAGCATCAACACGGATGACCAGGTACACCGTTGAACTTCCCAAAGCAGCTATCGCTGGGCTTATAGGGGAGAAAGCTGAAACTTTAGAAGAAATCCAGGACACCACTCCCCGTGTAGTTCCCCTTTCTCATACCTGGTCTCCCAGTGGTGATGTTTTTGTGGGATGTAAAGGAGGTCAAATTTTAAGGGTAGGGATTGATTGTATGTATACGTGTAATTTTTGTCATGTAAATTTTTAATCCTCTGATTTAGTGGGTTTTTGTTTGTTTGTTTTTTATCTTTTTAATAAAATATTTTTTAAAAAAATCAATTTATTGTAAGATTAACCTTTTCAAAAAAGTATTTAGTGGATGTTAAAATCTCTGCTGGATTGTAAATGATTTTTGGACAGTGCTGACAGCTCTTGGTCAGGCCACTAGAATCTGCAATACATATATTAATTTTTTATCAAAAATATCTTTTCTTCATAATAAACGTGTATTCTTTGTTGGTGCAAATTGCACAGTAAGTTTAAAATTGTCCTTGTTTTGAAATTCATATTCAAAATCTATTACATTTAATAGCAAATTATGTTTAAAGAAGTTTTTTTTTTGTTTGTTTTGGTTTTATATGCCTTATTCCCTGTAGCTAAGATGTTCATCAAAAAAAAACTCTGGCATATTTCTTCTGATTATAGTTTTTTTTTTTCATTCAATGGAACTAATAAAATGAGAATTGCAGTTCCGTGTTCATGTTAAAAATGAAAAATAAACCCATTTCAATGTACAATGTCCAAAAATTGATAAATTCCTTGCAAAATGTGTGGAAATTAATCTGGCACTAGGCTATTGTGCATTCCATGCTTAACATATCAATTGAATAGAAAATATTTTCTGGAAAATATCCAGAACAAATTTGCTTTTCATGAAAATATGCTTTGAATACAGTGTTTAAGTAATTTTTGTCATACTCATAGAGGGAATATGTATTGTTTGATAACTACTGTAGTTACATTTATAAGAACAAAAAAGAAATGCATTTTATATCCTAAATTTTAGCTTTATGCAGTTTTGATTGATGATGATACATGTATGACAAATTTTAGTGTAAATATCAATGATATTAATGTTGCTTTATCACTATAATTCTTATCATAATTAATAGGTAGATGGTGAGATTTACAAGGCCAAGGTTTTGTACTGCCCAATTCCTCCAGCCAGCGCCCCAAATTCCAGAGCCACTAGTGCTGCGAGTCGTTACAACTCCCAACTGGACTTACCAACAGGTAATATTACCTAGAGGTTAAAGGTTATGAAGGGAGTTCAAGGTCATTGATTTTAATGTTTATTTTTTAAAAAAAAAACCTACTCTGCATTTTTAATTTTGAAGGAAGATTTTCATGATAGATTTTTTTTTCAAATTGATATATGTGTATTTCTAAATTGGTTAATTGAATTTCTTCTTTTTTTTTTAATTAAAACTGATAAATCAATAAAAAATCAAAAGAAATACTATATATAAAGTAGATTAGACATATATACAAAATATGCCAGTATGTTGCAAAGTTTAAAACAAGACAGAAGTGCCCATTGATTTATTTTATATTATTTTTTTGCAAAAGTGTTTACATCTTAATATTCAATATAAATATTTCTACATGTACATTATAATTCATTTACAATGGTAAATGACATTTGTAGTCAAGAAGAAGACAAGATATGGTGAGCTAGTCGTTATTATGTTTGTGCTAGTAACAATTGCCTAGTCATACATGTGAATAGAAAAATGGATTTCACTAATGTCAGATCTGAAGTGAAGTTTTTGTCTTATTGATAATTGTTAGAACATTAGGTATTAGAAATACTAGAAGTGTGATTTCAATGGAAGGCAATGAAATTACATGTAATCAGTTGTGTGTAATGTCTCAGTTAAACGGTCATATATAATTTCATAAAGAACACATTAAATTTTTATTGTAATCATGTATTGTAGAGATGAATTGTATGTTTACATTACAATGTGCTCCTTATATTGTTATAGCGTACTAATTTAGATGGGATTTATTTTGGTGATCATCAAATATGTGATTGCTACTAATGCAAATGTGGTTGATAAGGTTCAAATTAGATAAATTTAAACACACATTTTTTTATCTCTTCATTTCAAATCATATATTCATACTTGTCAAAATAACCCTTCATGATATTTTTTTTTTACAATTATCTCAAAATCTTGTGAGGTCTTAAAAATATTTTGAGGTATTATGATTTTTTGTTTTAAAAAAAAGTTACTATGAAAAGGGAGTTGGGGCTTTTGAAATGCCCATATTTTTTTCCCTTTCATTGTTTAGCTTGTATTTCTTAGAATTTGTAAGGACAGTTCATTTTCAAGGTAATACTGGGCACACACATCAAATTTATTTCCTAATATATGAAAGTGATTCAGTACAGGTAGTTTAACCAGTGTTCCAAATTAAAAAAATAAAATAAAACAAGATCAATCATTACAAATTGATTAAAAAGAAAATCATGCTTAAACTAACCAACAAATTAAATCTAAATAAAAACTGTAACTGATAAGTTTGTTTAGTAGATTTGCAGCAGTAATTACCAGTATTTTAACTTGTTTCATCTATAAAAAAAAAAAAAATACATGTAGTATTGATACCAGTCAGTACAACTTGTAATACAAATTGATATGTTTCCTTTTGTTTGCAGCTGATGAAGTGAAAGATATGATACTGGAGGGAGGAGCAGATTGTGTAGCCCTCCACAAAAAGGGTCTTTATGTGGCTGGACAGGTAATGCATGGACACTTGATGTTATATATACTTATCACAAAAAATGTACACCTTATCCTCTAGGGATTGAGGCATACTGCAGACATACTTATTTCCTCATGGGATTAATTTACGGTATGTACATGGTCCCTTTTTTTTTTTTTTTTGAAATTATCACAACGTACTTAAAGTGCAGTAAGACATACGATGGTACTCTAGGAATCCATGTAATTTTCTACCTGCAGATTGAACAGAAATTGTGATTTTGATCGACTATGACGTACCCTACAAAAAATTACCTTTACAGTATATTTATGATTAAAAAAAATGTATAGTCACTGCCTGTGATATAATTATTGGCATTTTCTGATTTATTTATGGGGGGGAGGTTATCACTTTAAACAGTATTACTTAAGGAATAACTGTCTAATTTTTTGGATTCATGATATGATCAATCGAGTGGCTTGCGTGATAATTTGCATAAACGATGAAGGCATTTATGCATAAAATTATCACGCAAGCCAATCGATTGATCATCGTCATGAATCCAAAAAATCTGACAGTTATTCCTTATATTTACATGTACATGCTTCTGATTCTGCAAATTCCCGTGCTAATAGTCCCGCTTCTGTCTCTATTTGTCCCGCCCCACATGTGATTTTTTTTTAACCGCACCTACCGATGAACCAGTAGATTTATGTAGAAATAAAATATTTTTACAATTTGTAATTTTATTTCGGACAAAGACATTGGAAATGTAAATATTTTGAAATAATTTCAAAGACTTTGAAGTAAATGCTTTCTGCTGATGCTTATTTGCAGTATTAAACATTTTTCTGAGATCTTGACAAGCTAGGGTAATCTACCAATATATTAGTCTGGTTTCCCAAGTTTAACTTGAAAAAGAAGCAAACACATTTTTTCATGGTATTTTAAAGTTTTATATTTGTAAACAGGAGTCTGCTCATGAATTGTGTAAAGATCAGTATTAAGTTATACAGTCATGTACCCTTAAGACAAATGTATCTATTTCAAATTGTTTTTTTCATACACAGGATGGTGTGATAAGATTAGTAGATCTGAAATCAGAGGAATTTAAAGTTGTGGAACAGATTCCCATTGGAAATCCTGTCACTTCTATGGCCTTTTCCCCAAGTTATCGGCATTTAGCTTCAGCTACAGGCAAAGTAAGTCAATGAGACTATTTGATTGAATTTTTTCTGCTACTTGTTAAGACCAAATGAGTTTAATGTTTATAACTTATTATAAGATTCCTGTAAAGTATTTGTTCATATCTGTTGTTGTTTTTTTTTTAGGGAACTCTCCATATCTATGATGTGGGCTCACCACCAGATTCTGTCAAAAATCTAAAGAATACTCACTGGGGCAACTTTGTTGGTGTATCTTGTCTGGCTGGAAATGAATACTGTGTGGTGGGTTTATAGAAACTATTATCCATTTATTATATATTAATTGCTACATTAAAAAGTTTTATTGTGGATGCTGTAAATTGTACTTTGTTGACCTTTGAACTTTTTGACCTTGTAGTCCATAAGAGAAGATGGAGAGCTTCAGGTTTGGACAATAGACAAAGGTCAGCTCATCTCGTCTGTGTCTCTGGGAGTACAGGTGAGTACTCGTAGCTGTATATTTAACATGGATATATGGCTATTAACGAAACAAAAATTCAGTATCATGTTGATTGTACAATTTAAAAAAAGCTACAACTAATATGAACTTTAACAGATAATAAAAATATATTCTGTTATAGTTGGTAAATAGGATTTCTGGTCCAGTCAATGCATTGCACATACATGTATACAGACAATCTTTACCATGTGTAATTTTTTTCTGTTCATAGGCTTTGTGTCTGTCTTGTTGCCCAATGGTTCATGTTGCTGCCGTGGGAACCATCAGTGGCCATGTTTACTATGTGGATCTGACTTTTCCTAAGAAACCTAGGCTTGTCACAGCAACCAGACTTTATCAGGGACCACTTACACACCTCATGTACGATATTAAATTTATACACTGAAATTTAAAGTTTCACCACTGGAAATTAAAAAAAAGTATAAAAGATAAAAACACATGTTTTAATTTGGTTCTTTGATTACTTCAAACTTATGAAAAAGATTGAGGTTTTGTTTTGTTTTGTTTTGTTTTTTTTTTTTTTTTTTTTGCTGTTTTTTTTTTTTTTTTTTGAAAAGTGACTTTTCAGTGTTCCTAGTTTTAATAAAAAACAGAATATATCTTCAAGGAGTTGTCTGAAAATTGTGATATCAAATCTTAAAGTTTGTGAGTTCTGATATTTTACTATTTTGATTTCATTTTAGGTATGAATCTGAAGGGAAATACCTGGTGACTGGGTCAGATGATGGACATGTGTTTGTAGTAGATGGTAGAGCTTCAGTCAACTTCAAACCCATTGGATACACAAGTAAGTGTCCACAATAGCAATAACACATTATCCATCTTTTCACTGTATCACTGTAGACCAGGTGCTAAAAAGTAGGTATTCTATCATAAATTGGAATTTGTTCCTATTGCTTTATACAGGATAGCAGATGAAAATAATCATTGAAATCAAATTTTTATATTTCAATGCATATCAAAAGGCACCAGAATGAAAATGCTTTTATAAAAATAATTACTGAATTGTATAGATAACTTATAAATGTTCTAAAATATCAATTTAAGTTTTAAATATCATATCAATTTAAGTATCAATACAAGTATAATAGCTTAAATTTCTTTTTTTTTCAGCTATACCTGGAGATATACAGTGTATTGCTACCTACACCTCAAACACAGTCACAAAGATCGTGGTCACCTCTAACACGAGTGGCAACAAGAGAAATGGAGCTGATACAGTGCTTTATTTCCAGGTTACAGATGACATGGTTAAAGGTAGAACACATCACTGAAACTGGCAGAGAATTTCATATTTCAAGCAGAGAAAAGAAAATGTCTATAGCAAGAAAAAAGAGTGAAAGTCCTTTTATTGAAATCTGAATAAAATATTTATTTATGCTTCTTCTTTTTTTTTTTTTTTTTTTTTGGTGTTAAAAAATATGCTTAGTAGTTATCTGTTCATTGAAATCCTTAAAGAAAAACAGCATTTCCATGTGAATTTTCAAGAAAGTAATTTAAAGAAAAATACCTGTCATATCACTTGGTACTCGACAAGTTTGAATTCAATAATTGAGTTTCCAGAGCAGATTACTCATGTTGCATAAAATGTCTTCTACACTAGTACTGTGAAAGTTGATAATGATAAGGGGTATATCTATGATAATTAAATGTGTTTTTCCCTTTCCACAGATTTGAGGAGTAATGTCAACAGCTTGAAGTACGACTTTAAGGATGTTTCCATCAAGCGGATGATTCTGAAAATGCCCATTCCTGGTTATGGGGCTGCCTTGGCAGATGAGAATACATTCTTCAGTATGGGACAAGTCTCTAGAAAACTGTATCAGTTCTCACTTCCTGAAGAGCTTCCAAAGAAGGTACATAAATCATAGCATAAATTTAACTTTCATGATTAAGTGAAGAATAAGATAATGAGATACTAATCTGGATGTTAATGTTATTTAAGTGACAGTTTGGTAGGCTATAGGGTTATATTGATGTATGTAATTCAGATTTATTATTATAGTTTAACTTGCAATATATGATCCTTAAAATAATATTTTCTGTTATTTGCAAGATATTTCATCAGCTGATTTTAATAAAAATTAATGAAACACAAAAATTTAATAGTATTTCTCCTGAAAAATTCTAAAAATGGACATATTAGGGATTAAGAAATTATGTGTTTAAAACTGAAATTGCCATAATTTTCCCCAAAAGGTAGAGGTTGAGATTGTAGAACATGGAGTAAAGAAGACTATTTTGGTGGAGGTAGAAAACTTGATATCGTTTATTTTCACAGAAGTGTCCAAATATCCCCTACACTACTGAAACCTATGCATGTCACTAAAATATGTTTGGCACAATTGTGTCCTCTACCAATCACTTTGCCCAAGTGTCACATGTTATATGTAATTTTTTGGTTACTTTTATTTCATGAACCTCTAAGTTGTTTTTCATTTTCTTAAATTCACCTTATTTTAATTATAATATTTTGGCCGTGATTTCTAGGAGGACCATATGCATATACACATGGTTTGTAACTTGATAGTACTTGTTCATTGTTCAATGAAGCTTTAATTAAATACATTGCAAGCCAGTTTGAACTTGGTGTTATGATGAGTTCTTTACAGTATATTTATTTATGCTTATGATTTTTGGGCTTTTTATAGTTGCTAGCAAAAAAGATACATTATGGGTTATTTATTGGATCACTATAATTGGTATAAGGAGATATCAAAATGTAATCATAGATTAAATGATAACCAAATTCATGCAGGAACTGTCTGCAAAATAAGGGTCAAGGGTGAGAGAAAATAGATTTAAAATGATATATATTTTATAAATCCCATGATAGAATTTCTTCTACTGAGACTGAAACACATCTTTGCATAAGTAATGCCTACACAACCACAGTATTTAGACCTGCTTTTGTTTTGTGAGCTATAATTATCTACCCAGACAACTGATCAGGTAATGTAATTAAGATAAAAAGAACTGTGACAATTTTTTTTAAAACAAATATTCAATTTGATTGGTTGACACATTAGTCAGATGATGCAATCTTGGAGGAAGATGAGGAAGAACTTATCGATAGTGAAACTTTGTTTAAGAGGGTAAGGTGAAGCTATGGCTTTACTAAGTGTTCTTAGCAACTGCAGTTTGTTGTAGAGATGTCATGTGACTTAAATCTGTCAATCTTCTACATACAAAAATAAACAGATTAATGTTTTAATGCAGGTGGAGTTGCTCTCTGTAATGTTGATTCTTTTTAAAAAAGCTAATCCATCACAGTTAAAAAAATTAATCGTTCGATAAGTACATGTATATTTAATATTTACAACTTTAAGGACTTTTCATGAAATAATATTTTTTTAATTAGTTAATTAGTATTAGGAGGGATCTTGGATATTTAGTGATTAAAAAATCAAACAATGTACAGTATAACCTGAGTGTTTGTGCCTCAAATATATGAGGTGAATGTTTGTATTATTACATTTCTGTGTTTTACTAATACATGTACTTCAGGAAAAGTCTTGTTTTTCTTAACCAAGTGGAAAATTAACCAACTTATTTTATAAAATCATGAAGTTTATGTTAATCTACTAAATATTTCACTCTTATGCTTGTGTTACATCAAAGTCATAAAAATAGTCAAAGTCATATATTTATAAAGTTGTTTGATATATTTTGATAATAGAAGAAATATATTAAATTAAAAGACTGTTATAAAAAATTATGTACACATTGATAAATAATCACTGTTCTTCCAGGGGAAACCAAATGAATTGTTTCCTGAGGCTGAGTTTGATTCCCATCAATTTCCTGGAGGCAAGTTACAGTTGTCTCCTCATGGTAAATGGCTTGCCAGCTGCGGTACAGATGGTGCTGTACAGCTCCGTGCTTTGGGAACACTAGTAGGTTCTATTATATATACTGTATGAATTTATTATAGTTACATACATGTACTACAAGCTAGATTAAGGGGACAAATATTGATCATGAGAGCTATAATTTTGCTTTGTTTTAAATTCTATTAGCTTGAAATTTGTCTTGCATTCTGAGAACAAAATCTGAATCTTGATGTGACATACATTACAGGACAGGTTTGTAGTTATAAATCCTCATGACTACCATCTGGGAGGTGTCAGGATTGTGGCATTTGCTGACGATGCACAGAACATATTTACAACAGGATTTGATGGTGTTCTTTGTTGTTACTCATGGAAGTAAGTTAAACCTGCATAAATGCTTTTAAGCAAAAAGTGTAACCCTTAATTTACATCACTTATTCAATGTCTGTGTATTTCATAAAGTTAATATGTATCAGCAGGCTAGCAACCTAAATTTGCTTTTATTATAAGTCATACAGGTGATATGTACTGGCTGAGGACACAAAATGTCATTTTTTTTGTAAAATTTTACAATTACATAAAGGCAGAATACAAGAACATATTGTACTACCATGTATATTCAATGTGAATTAATTTTGAATTCGATCTGATCGCCACAGCTTCTCTTCCACTGGAATTGGTAAGGCAAAGTCAGCCATGGAAGCAGCCAGAGCACGTAAGACAAGATTGATGCAGATCCAGAAAGATGAAGATGAGGTTGTCAGAAATTTCCCAGAATACACTGCTCCTTCCACCTCTAGACCTGTATCAGGGGAAATAACTCAGGCAGAAAAGGTACCTACAATCATGTACTCTCTAAATCATGAGTTGATACGATTCCAATTTCCATGAGAGTGTATATCTGAATTAAGAGGTTTTTTGGGAGTATTTGGATATGATACAGTTGAGGAGCAATTCAGCTTTCTTATTCTACATTTTCCATTGTGATTTTTTTCACAGAGAAAGGGTATATTTCTTTCTTTGAAAAAATCATGCAATATTTTTTAAAAAATTACCTATGAGTGCTCTGTTAAATGTGTTGAGTTCTCCCAGGATAGTTTGTTGGATTATTTTTCAACGTAGTTACCAAAAAAAAAAAATTATAATAAATAGATAAATAAAAATAAAAGAAAGGGGGTATTGAATTTAGTTTTGTAATGATATTTTTGTTACCAAAAAAAAAAAAAATAATAATAATAATGATAAATAAATAAAATGAAAGAAAAAGGGTATTGAATTTAGTTTTGTAGTGATATATTTTTAATCTTATTTGGAGATTGGTGAAAAAAAAATTAAAAGATGAAATACATGTAGGCTTAAGATATTTGTAGAGCTTGATCAATTGGTGGGGTTTTATTTGACTTATGATGATACTATAAACACTCTGTTGCTCAAAATAGGTAGGCTTAACCCCTCCCCTTAACCAACTTCATTGATATAAAGTACCATTTCACCAAGAGAGAGAGAGAGAGAGAGTGTGTGTGTGTGTGCATCCACCTTCCTTTAATAATTTTCATTAGTAATTACCTTTATATGACATGTATCATGTTTGCAGGAGAAAAAGGCTTTGGAGAAGGCTCTTGAGACTGATGAAATCTACCGCACTCCAACACCTGTAGCTCCTAGTGATGCCACTTGGCAACAAGTACAAGAGTTAGAAGTAAGTCCCATAACTCTCTATGATACATTTATTCTGTCTTCCTTAATCTAGGAATAGAGAAAAGTTATAATTAACTATTAAAATTTGAATAATTTTTTTTGTATGTGGTTATATATAGTGAAACATGTTGATCAATATTTTCATAAAAACTGTTATGTATATTTCTTAGGCATAAATTAATTTGACAAAAAGCCCTAGAGTGTAACAAATTTGATATAAAAAATGTCAAAGTAAAATGCTCTTGAGTATCATGTGGCCTCTCAGTTTATTTTTTTATAGATAAATTGAGGTTTAGAGGGTTATCATTGGCATAATTACATCATATCTATTAAGTATTCATGAATCAACTTCTTAAATTCCTCCTATTTTTTTTTAATTTAAAGTTTTGCTTATGTCATACAACTGCATGTATGTTTTGATATTTTAGTCAATAAAAGAAGAAGACAATGAGTTTGCAAGTGTCAAACAGGACTTGAGGGTTCAAATTAGGGATATGAGAAGAACGGTGAGACAATTCAGGACGTAACTGAGATTAAAGTGTTAAAGCTTGCATGTTTTATCTTCTCTGAGTAATTCACAAACTGCAAATTTTATAACTTTTACAAATTAAATTCTCATGCATGTTCTAAGATTTTCAACGTTAAAGTCAAACAATGGACAGTGACACACACCCCCTCTCCCCTCCCAAAAGAAATGGGGTATTGACTATATCATTTGATTCAAATCTGTTGAACTTGCATTCATAACTTGGAAAAATCTTAAAGCCAACAAAAAGCCAAACTTTTTTGTTCATATATACATGTATTAACTTTTTATTTCTTGTTTTTCAGATTCAAGGGATGCTGAAGCAAAACGAGACTCTGCCAGATATTGAGAAACTAGGTCGCCATGAGTTTGACCTTGACATTGAGGAACAAAACCGTCTCCAAGCAGAAGCTGATGCTGAAGTCAACAGGGTAAGTCCCAACTCTCATCTGATTATTTGAAAGGGATTGAATAAATATTTATTACATAATTGCATGCTTGAAGTGATTTTGATAAAAAAAAATAGATCAGTATTTTTTTGTTTGAAAAATCTTTTATACTAACATGGTAAAATACGAGAAATATCTATGGTAAAAATTAGAAACCTATCTGTGTAAACTTTAAATCTCAATTTCTAGGTTAGAGAAGAAATAGAATTTGAAAACTTGGCCAAGATTTATTTGAGGGAAATGATCAAAAGAGAATGCTGGGATGAAATGAATGTCAAAGGTCGAGCTATTCAGGTAAGTCAGAGGTTGAGCTTTTCAGGTATGTCAAAGGTCAAAGGCTTTTCAGGTATAAAAAGTATTACAGGTAAGCCACAAGGTTCACAGAAAAGAATGAGTGATATTTTAAAAGTATAAATTGCAACATAAATGTGCAATAGTTGATGTGTGAGTTAGATACATGTATGAATGATCCTTTAATAAGATAATGTTCAATATTTTCAATTTATAACTTGATTGTACAATTATATTCTATCATAAAAAAGTAAGTCAAGTTCTAACAGTTTCATTTAGAGATTTTTGAAATATTTTAGGCATTTTTTACATCACTGGAGGTTAGCAACTTTCCAATGAGGAAAAGATCAGCTGCTGCAGAAAAACAGTTACAAATTGTTACAACTCGCAGGAAGATTGAACTAGCTGATATCGCAGTAAGTACAATAATTTACAACTGGCAAGAACTGCAAGGATTTTTCAATTATTTGCTAAAATGTATGATATATGATTAATTATAAAAACTTTGAATATTTTAAGTTATTAAAAGCTTAAAATGGAATACATGTAGGTAGTTGTAAGTATCTATAGAACTGGATATTTGTATATAGAGCTTTTTTCATTGCTTGAGTAATTATTGATTTTTGTTTACAGGCTCGTAAAGCTGAAATGGAGGGTACACAGAGGCCAGGCATCACAACAGCTGTAAGTGTTCAGATTAAGTACAATCATACTTGTACCTATTTACTCTATCCTTATCCTGAAAAGATGAATGTGTATTGTTGTACAAGTAAACTTTCCTTTTAGTGATTGTTTTTTTCATCATTACTATACTTACAATCTGCTTTTGCAGTACTCTTTTGAAACTGTTGCATAAGCATTCCCTTTATTAAGGTAGTCTTAGTAATGGTCATGTTTTACTGTAGATGTTACTTAGTATGCTACATCAGCAGAGTTATAGACGAGTGAGTCATTTTCACAATGTCAGTTGCTTCTCATTGCAGATGTTTTTTTTTGGTGTCATTTTGAAAAATTATGTTCTTTTTTCAGTTTTGCATTTACTTTTCAGTTATCTTTCCTTTTTTGCAAACAATGAGGGGAAAATCTCAAGAAAAAAAAGGGGGGATGCTTTTACAATACACTTGTATTTGATGTTCTGCTTCCAGCATATTGGTCTACACAAGTGTTCTCATATGTGGAATAGTACATGTAATTGAATACTGTATTTATCATTACAAATTATAGGTTTGGGTGTATTTTTATAGCCAAATTTAAATCAAAGAGCTTGAGATCACTTCTGTTACAGACAGTTTACACTGGCATTATTAAATGCCAGGAATTTGTTACTTTTTGAATGTAAATTTGCTTTGACAATGTTCAATAATGTGGATTTTTTATGTTTATCTGATTATTTACATTGTTATAAGAGCAAGGGTAGAATGAGCTTATGTTGTAATACTGCCACTTGTTGGATTTTTTTTGAAAATTTCATTCAGTAAGTATTTTAAGGCATATACACTTAAAAAAAAATTACTGCCTTATTGGCAAATCTTAAATCCTTATCTTCCTGTGTTGTAAAATGTTACTGGAATATGTGTACTTGTCTCTTAAACTAGATAAAAAATGCCAACCATTTAACAAGATGCTGATGCAGTATATATTTGACTATGTTTACAGGATTTTGATGTATAATTTACAGGATTTTAATGAATAATTTATGGGTTTCTGATGTAGAATTGACAGGATTTTGATGTATGATTTACAGGATGATGAGGCAGCTGACCTTGATGAAGGAGAAGAGGGAGGTAAAGAAAAACCCTCCACCACTGGCAGTCTGGGTAAGCACTAGTGTCCCATGTCTAAAGTGTTCTCATGACCTCATTAAGTCAGAATTGCTCTCAGTGACAGGGAAAGAACATGTTAGCCAAGTTTAATTTCATTTTTATGTTGGATTTTTTTTTTTAAATAATGAAGTTAATTATTCTAATTATGAATCTGATTGATTTATAATGTGATAATTTGAATATGCATTTTATGCCCGTTTATTTTTTTTTTTCTGTGCACTCACATCAACTAATTGTGATTTGATGTTGGCTTATTAAATTGAATTTATTGTATTGGATTTGAGCATGTTCTATAATTTTGGTGATTGGGATTTACAGGATTTAAAATGACCACTACATAAAATGTCAATTGATAATTTAATTCCAGATCAGGGAATGAGTATGTTTTTATCATGATAAGTATTAGCACTAGAACTTTTGAGCAAGTTATTCCCTTTGTTAGAATAAAAATACATTTCAGATCTCCTGGCACAAAATTTTAATTTTGATATAATGACATCAGTATCAAAAAAATGCAACAGATATATCATACTGTATTGCTCAAAAGTTTTAATCTATATAAAAACAGCTCTCTCAGAATATTAGCTATTTCATCCAGTTTCCTCTTCATAAAAATAGTCTTTTTCTCCTGTCATTCAAGTCTGTCATCTTCATAAAAACTTCAAGGTTATGGCATGAGGTTTATCATAGCACGGACAATTATTTTATATACAGTACTTATTAGGGATGCACACTGCTAGGAATAAAAAAAATAAGATAATCTATTTAATGACTGTTCCACTTGTACAGTATTACTACTGTATTGCATATTAACTGGTGATTTTTAAGAATAAATAGGAAGGTAGGGACAATAAAGTTACCATTACATGTTTTAAAAGACTGTTGAAGGTAAAATGTTTGGGCTGAATTACAGAATCTTGTAGAAAGATATTTTTTAAAATGAAATCATCTTGATAATAAAAAAATATATATTACCTAGATGTTGTCTATTTTATTTCAACACACTGCATGTCAAATCTTTAGATGTACAATATAAAGAAAATGCATGTTTCATTTACAGTGTAATATACTAATACTGCATGTGATGTCTTCTTAAAGTCATTGTACTTTAATTATGATAAACTTTGATAGGGACAGTCTGTCCATAACTGTTAGAAACTTGGGGTACAGTACAGGCTTTGTAATCAACTGGTGATGGCAGAAGCTTTACTGTGTACACTGTACATGTATAAAAGATTATAAATATGCAGCATCTATTGCTCAACTAACTCTCCAGAATTTCATACACTAATACATGTAAATAATATTTATTTAATCAGTTTTGAAATCAAGCAATATTTTATCTAGTTGGAGCTCCTGTGGATATTTTAAAATCATAACTGGATGGATTTTTATTTATTTGCTTGACTTATTTAATAGGTGCTATGTATGGAGGGGGCAGTGACCTCTTTTTCAGTCAGTTTGACCTCCACACACGGGACCAGAAAGTCAGTCAGATCGTTCTCTTGGAGGTAATTATCTCCCCTGTCACACCATCAAGTTTCTCTCTGCTTGAAACATTATACAAAAAGTCAAGGACATTTCAGATTGCCTATCCCAATTGGTTTACATCTTGTCAATTATGTATAATTTTATTCTTTCACCTGTTAGTAAATATTTATGTATGTAGAAAATGTTTGTCAAAATTTTTAATTTGCAGGATGCAATCTACAGAATTAAAATTGCATTTAACAAAGAATTTGATGAAGTTTATCAAAAGAAACTGTCAGAGATTGCTAAAATTAAAGATAAGAACAAGAGGATTGTAAAGATTCTACAAGACCTGGATCTTCAGGAGGACATGGTCAGTCCTGAGTTGTCTATTTACGAGGATCCAGAGTCCCTCCTCAAAGTAGAAGATCATGAGGTAAATTTAGGGGGTTGTAAGGAGAAATGTCATATGCTATAGTGATATGGTGAAAGGTTATCAAATGCTCTCCAAATAATTTCAAATGCTACATGTACATGTATACAATGTACATGTTTGTTGTAGATAGCTTATATATAGAGCATGATCAAGATTGGAATGTTTAGGATAAGGAAAATAATCTTAAAACTACAAAACAAAAATTATTTTAAAATTATTTTAAAATACCTAAATATGTAATTGAAATGCATAAATACATGTATGTAATTAAAATGATATGTAGCCTAGCATTATTATGAATTAATAATTGTCCACATAACTGATTCATTGCTGTATTGATTTACCAGTTGATTTCTATTTTCCCAGGTGAAAGTGGAAAAATATCTGACAGCTGAACAGAGGAAAGAATTAGAGAAGAAGGAGAAAGAGGAAGAGGAGAGAAGGATTAGAGAAAGAGGAGATAATGCCCGGGAGAGAGGACTGGACATGATGATGGGAGGAGTTCTGGAAATTAAGAAAGAGGATGAACTTAAAAAGGTAAACTTGCAGAGGTCTTTCTCTTACAATAGAATGAAAATCATAAGAATTAAATCCCTTAATCTCCTCCCCCCCCCCCCCCCCCCACCCCCCCAAAAAAAAGAAAAAAAGAAGAAAAAATTAATTTGAATTTGAATTGTTATTTTGATTTTCTTTTTCAGGATATTCCCAAACCATTGTTTATGTCCACTAAGGAACCCACTGACTGGACTGAAGATGAGCAGAAGCTGGCCAAAGAGTATGAAAAGAAGGTCAAAGAACTGCAGGAGGAAAGGGAAAAGTACAGAAAGGTCAGTGACAAAAGGACATGTAATGGCATAAAGAGTCTTTCTTGGTACATAAAGGACAAAGTTTATATACTGATTAATGAATGTCTTTAACAGCAACTGGAGACAGAATTAAGAAAGCTCCAAAGCATGATCCAAGATGGTATGCAGGGATTTGACGACGTTTTGACCCAGTTGTTTATGAAGAAGATTAAAATTATGATGGTCATTTATCAGGTGAGCTCATTTAAGTCCTCTCCTATTAATTGTCAGGATTTTGATGACATATGTAGTCTTATCAATCTGAACATTTAGTCCAAATGTCAGTAAAATTCTTTGCTCTAAAATGGCAACACTAGGATTGTTTTAATCTTTTGATCAGTAAAACTTACCTAATATGCCATTATAGTGACATTAAAGTGATGATTGACATTTATAGGAGGAGCTTAAAATTCTGCGTCTGCGTTATTCCCTGTTGGTGGAGGAAGAATTGGAGACAAGAGAGAAAGAACTAAACCGACTCATGGAGCACAAAAAAGCCATGAAGGTACACTAGCTTTATACTCATTATCTACCATGCTGAGTTCTCTAGAAAGTTATAAGCATTGAATTTTAAATGTTTGATTTCTGTTGTTCAGGCTTTGACAGCAACTGCTGTCATGGAGTCTAAGAAACACATGGATGCCTTCAAGGAGCAATATGACATTCTGAATGCTGAGGACAAGGTCATGGACAAAGCGTTCAAGCGTGAATTCCATGATGTTACGGCTGTACAGCAAGATCAGCTTTACAGACTGTTCAGAAAGAGGCCAAGGTATGATGCAAGAACATCACAAGTGAATAATACCTTTGTTACTAATGTTTTAATTCATAATGATAAACCAGTTAATTAATCTTTAAGTAAAATAGTATATTTGAATTTTATTCAACTTAAGTGTATCATATATGCATGTTTACTTCATATCTATATTTTTTCAGAATACCAAGACTTAAAGGTTTTGACACCCCTGCTCCATCCACGGCAGATTCCTCCCTCCCCAATCCTTTTGCTGACCGTCCCTCCACGGCCAGACAGCACGCCCAGGCCAAGGCACAGCTGGACGCAGCCATTCAGGACTTGGACAAAATCTCCAACATGCCTGATGGAGTGGAGGAGGCAGTTTGGCAGAGACTGTGTGCTTACAGGAGAGAAAAGATTGAGAATGATTTATTGGTAAGTTACAGAATATGATAGATGTGGAAGACATCTGTATTTGTAATAGCTGTTATAAAATAATGCAGACAAGAACCTACAAAATATATTTTCATGAATATGTATACAGTCAACCCTCCTTATCTTGAACTTAATGGGACTGAGAAAAAGTTTAGAGATATCCGAAGGTTTGAGAGATCGAGGTTAAATTACAATACGAATATAGTGTTGTGACTTCCAAATCATTTCACATCAAATGTATTTGAGATACATGTATCTGAGTTTGGAAAACTGAAGTTCAACTATTTACACATAGTTTTTCAAAATTGTGCTGTATTTCGTTCACAGATGATTATTACTCCAGATCATCAAGATGAGTTTATTTGTACATGTAAATTTCATAATACACATTAGGTCCAAATGAAAACATACTATTTAATATCCTGACACTTGCATTACAGATAAAACAAAAAGCCTTGGTCCTGGCAGAAATGGACAACTTTTACAAGAAGAGAGTGGAAGAGGATGAGGGACTGAAGAATGAAATAGAGGGAATATTTGATACACTCAACAAGTATGTAATGTGTGCTATCTCAAAGTTTTCTTTATCAGTCAGCTGTTGACAAATTAATACAAATTTAAGGTAAAGTAAACCTTCTAGGATCAAGTACAATTTGTTTAAGAAATAATTCTCGCGTCCGAGGAATTGTTGGATAATATACCCAGATAGTTTTGAGATTTTGTTGACAAATAAAAACCGATCCTAAAGGGCATGAGTTTTTGTACTTAAATTCTTATTTTGTTTTCTAGATTGCATGATGACAGAATACGATTTAACCTTAACTTAGAAGTCCAGTTAATGCTGAAACAAGGTCAAGTGGAGGTGGATCCAACCAATTTTATCCATGATTATAAAGATAGTGCTCTGATCCACAGGAGCGTGGTAGAGGAACTCAACAGTAATATCAAGGTACATACCTCATATACATGTATCTATACAACAGTTAGTCTGGCCAGATGATATTTTGACCTGAAGTATTTTATATGGACCTCAAATATCCACACAGTAGTTAGTCTGACCAGATGTTATTTAATCATTTTATATGCATACCAAATAAATGACCTGCATGTAGTATTTTAATAGTATAAATATGATAACTGCACTTTATATAACTTTGGTTTGAGTTAAGTCCAGCTGGAAATGTTAATTTGATATGTAATTCTCGATGTGTACATTTGTAGCAACTAGGTGAAAGCAAGATTACAAGTATGATGGAGAGCAAGGACTTTAGGAAAGGCATTATACAGCTAGAATGGTGAGAAAACCTAAAGAATTAAGATGAAATATTTTCAGTTTGTTTTTCCATTAAAAGAATTGTACAAATACATGTACATGTATATGCTATACCCTGTCCCATGTGACTGTTTACAGGGAACAGAAGCGCATGTTGATGCAGATGGAGGATCTACAGAATAAGATGAAAGACATTCAGTTCATGAAAGTCACCAGAGAGATTCAACTGGTAGGTTTGAAACGATTTATAAAATCACCTGTATGCAGTCTGCTTTATATTTGTAACACTTAGGTTGTCTATAGGGACAAATTGTATGCATGTATAGTTATAACTGAGCAGTAAACATCTACCCTGAATTATACACACATTATCCTACCTTTCCTTCAGCAAGATAATTGGGAGAGATACCTTAATTTATAAATTATTGGACAATTTGCAATGCAATCATAACAGTAATTTTAATTATCAACAGAAACACCATACCAACAGTGAAAATTTTGTCTCATTGTTTAAAGGATAAAGGGATTGGTTTCAAAATATTCACATATAGTGAATGAATGCATTCAATTCTGATCTCAAAATGATCATGCTAGCTAGCTGTTTTAACCTCTATCTCCATATATTGTGTTAATTATTTATAAATATTCAGCTTAATACCTGTATTTCTGTTCTAGTATTTGTCAAACGAGGATTATGAGGGCAGAAAAGCAGAAGAAATAGGAAAATTAGAACAGACAATTCTCACCCAGCTAAAGGTAAGTTACTTTAGTAAAATGTTTTCAATAATTTTTTTTAAAAATCTTGTTCATTTTTTAAAGTACAGCATAATATTGGCAAGGATATTGTATGTGCCTGTATATTCAAATCCCAATGCTACATAGGTCATTCACTTCCGAGAAATCATAAAATTGGCATGATCATTAACAAATATGCTGATACAAATACTGGTATATATATATACTTAAATTATTATGAATTGCCACATCAGTAACAGCAACAGCATATCAAAGTGTCAAGGTATAAAATCGACTGAAATAAGTTGCCATAAAAATTATATCTCCTAATATTTTGTAAGTTTATAATCAAAGTAAAAGAATAGCAGCATTATGACGACACAATCAATTTTTCCATCAGCATCATGAAAAGAATGTCAAGGAGAAGAAGAAGATACTGAAAGACCTACAGAAGACAATCAAGTCTCGAGATTCCGAAAACTTCTCAATGGACAATGATCTGGCGGAGCTGAATGTCACTGTCAATGAGAGGAGACTGATCGACCAAGTCAATGGTACGGCTTATTTCTCAGGGAGGAAGATTCTTGAAATTTACACACCGATTCTTTAAAAAAAAATTTAAGACATTAGATCAGTACTTAAACTATATACACCCTTATGTTGTTTTTTTTTCAGCTGAGAGAAGATCAGACACTGGAACAGAGAAGCGATATCAAGAAATAGTCCAGCGACGGAAACTAGTGGACCTTGCCAAAGCCCAGGCACAGGAAGTGGCCGTGTTACGAGCTGAAGTGGAGCGGTTACGCATGAGAACTTTCCCTGCTTTAGTTCAAGTGGAGCACTAGCATTTGCTGAATGTGATACTTTTGTCTGTTAAATGAAGATCTTTGATTTTTGTAATTCAGATCTCTTTTCTCCTTGACAAAATAAATATGTAATTTGGGGCACATTTGACAGTCTTTCTCGATTTAAAATCTACATTCACAGATGCATTAGATCAGAAAGTGTTTGTAGTTGAATGTAGACCCTGTGTACACAAACATTGTCAGAGTTTAAAGAAAGCTATATGAACTGTATCTCTGTATTTTTTTTTTAATTCTTCTGTTTGATTTTAAGATAACTCATATTTGTACAGTGAAGAAAGAATGATGTAATAGTACATTATTAAAATATCTGTGATATGAAGTATACATGAACATGTAGTAAGAATAGTATATTTTATTTTGTATTTGATACTATGAAATATCACGTGTCAAACTATGTTTGAATGATACATCATTAATAAATGATGAAACTATGGAATTTTTTCTTACATCAAACAGCGCCATTATCAGAAAGATTTAAGATGGTAAAGAACATGGAGCTACAAGTGTAATTATGGTAGGTCTTTAAATGTCTTACAATGCCATTTATCAGCTTTTAATGCAATGGAACGTAACTTTATTATTTAAAAAAAAAAAAGAGAAAAATCACTGTCCTTTGGGAGCCTCCCTAATCGAACATCCACTACAAACATGAGTGTTGCTTTTGTCAGAATAGACAAAGTGTAGTATGGGATACTGTCAATCAAATACCTTTTTTGCCACTACACTGAATTTTATTCACTATCAAATACACAAAAGTTGATATATTGTTTACATTATTCTTATTGATGATTATAGAAAAGGCCAAATAAATAGTGGTTCCTACGGTGCATTTTTGACGCTTAATGATATAATTCTGTCAGTAAGCCATTTTACATTTGAGGTTGAGAAAGTCAACGCAATAATTTATGACATTAAGCTTTGCATTTGCAATGCTTACATGTAATGATATTTCTATCTCGTCTGTCTCGTTAGCAGTTGCTACATGGAATTTATTACAGCAATGTCTTCTTTTTTTTCAAAAGTTCACAAGTTAGACCTTTCATAAAAAAAGAAAAAAAAAAGAATAGATATGTAGATTTTTTAATTAATTGAAAGACATCAAAAAAGACAAAACAGTGCATTAGAGGCCCATGGGCCTTATAGTCACCTGAGTATCATGAGTTTCTCAGCCTATGACTGACTTAGCTCAAACTGGGACAGGATATAGACCCATATGTGACATGAAATTACAAACACATAGAGGATTGTTTCCTACCGACTTGAAGTTTCTTACCTAGATGCTAAGGAGTTAAGGATATTTTAAAACATAATTAACAATGATACATGTATATTCAATGATGAAATTAGCCCCACACTTGTGTCTGAGTCCAGAGGACACAAAATTCACAATTTGATAAGGGGCTTAAAGTTTATTCTTATTACACACATGATTTTTTGCTACATATACAGACATAAGAAATTCTAAAGCATAATGCATTTTCAATATATGTCCAACAAAGTTCCACCCTAGGACCTGAGCTGACATTGATTTTCATGATATTGTTACAAGGCAAAAATGTAATCATACAAAGTTTGCCTGCTAGATGACCTGCATGATAAAAAGAAAATTTTTCAAAAGCATTGAGATGATCAACTATGTCTGACCCTGGGGTGTGATTCCTTTCCCTCACTCTCAAAGTAAACAAATTTCAAAAATTTGGGAGAGGGATAACTGTTCCTATGATCCTGAAACAGTTTGCTTGCTAGATTTCCCTAAGGTATAAAAAAAAAAAAACTGAAAGATGTTATGAATTTTATTTTCATTAAGGGATCAATTTAAAGCCTCACTTTGGGTCATGAGACAAATGGGCTATTAATTCAATTAATTTTTGGAAAGTTGCCAGGTGTTTATAATGCTAACAGCTTTTCTGTTAGATATTTTGGAGTACAGAAGAAGATTTCTGAAGATTGAAAGAATCTTGATGGGATTAATCTCACCCCTGAAGCCCCAGTCCCACCCTTTAGCCCCAGCTACATACAGAAATCGGTAAAAATTAGTTCAGCCATTTCATCAAACAAACTGAAAATGTTCAGAAGTTTACAAAAAAATATACAGTAATGTACAATAACTCATAGCAATAGGTCATAAGTGACCCTGGTGACAAACAAAAATATTAAAAGTTCAGTCACCAGGACGTAGAGTTTAAAATATTACAAGTAACCCTGAGTCATACATGTATATCAATTTACTGATAACAACTGAAATCTAGAATCTTGACTTGTAAGTCCAGTGCAGCATAAAGTCTTTTACTGTCAAAAGCCAAGGAATAAACAGGACTGTTCTGATGGCCTATATAAAAGGACTGCAACAATAAAATTCAAAGGTGAAAACATTTCAACATATCATCATATTTGTACATTAAATACATGTATATACATGGTAGGAAGAGAACTCAAAGTAAAAAAAAAAATTCCTAAGTACATTTGACTGAGATCTCATATTTTAATGTTGCTGTAAATATTCATGTACTTCTGTGTGAAGTAAAAAATTTTCCATTAATCAACAAACATTTTTTTTAATTTTTTCCTATAAATATCAAGCCCCAAAACATAATTGGATTTACATTAAAATTTTGTATTTTTTCATCCTAATTTTAATTAAATTAAAAATGTTAAAAAAGAAATTGCAGAATTGAAAGGAAGCTTACTTGGACAGGTTTACTTGTTTTCCGTTTGTCCCAAAGATCCACTAATCCATGTCGTGAAGCTCCAGCAAATATGTTCATGTGACCATCTGACTTGAGACAGTAATATGCAGAGTCAAACCTTTGTTCCCAGGAACAGATGCTATGGCATAAATCAACACAGGATTCATAAAACAATACATAATGCTCAGATAACAAAATGCACTGGAAAACTGAGTAAATCTAAATGTTGTCATAATATTTATAAATGATTACATGTTTGTGACAATAAATTACTCCTTGCTAGGTACATGTGCACTTAAGCATAACAAATATAGCGTAAGATTATAAACCATATGAGGTCATATTGACCTAAACAAGTGGGGAAACCTCACCATCTGTTGATTCGGAGGTCCCACATGTGTATAAATGTGTCATATCCACAAGTCAGCAATGTGTGTTCATTCTCATACTGCATGTCAAGGACACCTGCACCAATCTTGTGTTCTGTGCCTAACTGGTTAACAGCACACTGTCTGAAATCAAACTTGATTTTATGACATTTTGAAAGATAGTACATTTGATCTTTTTTATCTTTGTTTCCAGCTTTAATTTGTGGAAACTTCAGTTTATTAATTCATTGGCATATTTCACATAAAATGGTTCTGGTAAATATAACAATCAGACTTATGATAGAACATCTGATGGTATAAAATGGTTGAGGTTAATTAGTTTAAGCTTATGATTTGCTGTTTATATACTGTTCATACTTGTTCAAATCCAACAAAGATATAGGAGCATCTCCTTCACAAAATGCTGTTCCACATGCACAAAAGCTGAAAGAATAAATACTAAGTGAATAGTTCATTCATATCACTAAAATCATTCCTCTCAAAATGTGTTTCAATATTTTTGCAAGGAATTTAACAGTCATACAGTGATATTAAATATTTTAGATCAAGAGTTTTACAAGTATATCAGACAATTCTTTACATAGAAAATAAATAACTGATATTACTGTGCTTCAATAATAATATGAATTTTAGAAACCAACCTGCCACACTGAGAGAGGGTAAGGGACCACACCCTGTCCCCTACAGGAAAGCAGCACTTCTCCTCAACACCAGTGATGCCACTATAGTTATCCGACTGTAGCCTAAAAACCTACATTTCAAAAAATAAACAGGTTATTACATTATTTGTTGGATATATCTCAGAGATTTTATTAAATGTACATTTTTGAAGAAAAAGTTTGTGGTTTCTTGTTGTGTAAATATACGCATTTAATAATTTGTACTTGATGTGGTCATTTTAATTCACGTGCCTTTAGAGTTGCATCCCTTGAGCCAGAGACCAGGATACCATTATGACAATCCACAGCCTGTGTGTCTAATGGGTGGGCCTTCTCCACTACTGTGTGAGTACCTCCTGCTTCCCATATGTGAATACTGCCATCCCTACAATACAAAAACTAATTACAAGTATCTTCAAACAAACGTAACATCAGTAAAATAGACAAAGATGAGGAAACCTAGAGTACCAAATCTGTTGGGTTGAAAGTGTATGATTTGATGTGCATGTGTCAAATTTTATCACATCATTATGACACAATACTTATATCATAATCATTTAATGTTATTTATTTGTCTAATTTTTGTGCAAACAAATTCTTACTGTATTGTTAAGTCATATTCCTATACAGACACTTGCATTGATGGCATCAGAGAGCAGGGCATTTCTTCATAACAAGACTTAGTGTTATAATGTTCAGGTAAATAATGTAATGTACATGTACAAAACATCCTTTAAGTCCTTAAATGAATGCATGTATCCTCTTACATGATGTCCTATCTGAACATAAGTGAGTGGAGAAGGAATTAAAGTGTTGGAAAGGGTAAATAAATATCAACATCCAACACTGATGAAGCTTACAAGCATCCGCTGACAATCCTGTCTTCTTTAGTGACAAATTTAGTGACATCTCTCTGAAGTTTGTATGGATTATTCTTTTTATTGACTTTCAATTGTTTGCCTCTGCCAGGGCTATAAGACTGAATCTCATTCTTAGATGAGACCCATAGGTTCCCATTGTGATACTGCATCCATGGCATTTGTCTGAAACACAGGCATTGTGACTGAGTTAACTATTAAACCTAAATTTTAATACATAGTCCATTCAACTTTTTTATAATCATTTTCCCATAAAGACTATTTGATGTGAAACAATAACTTTCCTCAATTTCAAAGATTGTTAGATTTAACCAAAGATATGAATCAAGATAACAAACTTAGCGCTAGAAGAAACATGCTGTATGATGTTTTCATTATACTTTATATCTAATCTTAAAAAATCAACTACCCCTACCTTTTTGAAAAGTTGGCAAGTAATGATTCATGGCAGGTTCCTTTTTCTCTATTATGGGAAATCCTGAACTTCTCTTTCAGAGGAAGTCTACAAACACATACATGTATGTATATTATTGTATGAATCAGGGTTCTCCACAAGGGGTTTTACCATGGCGGCCCGCCATGGTTAAATTTATGTGCGCCATGGTTAAACGAGCTGCGCCATGGTTAAAATCAGCCGCCGCCATGATTAAATTTTATTGCATTTCAGTACTGACACTTAATTTTTAATGACCTGAGTAGTTAATTGTGTTTATGCTACGGCTGGCATGCACCTTGAGAGAAAGCGGACTGTACGTGCTAAACAAACACGGTCGTTGATCGGCGAATACCGTGAAGCGTGACAATTGAGAGTCAATCAGTTGATGATCAATATCTTTAGAATTAATTTTTCTGTACACATGTAATTTCGGGGAACTTCAACGTGTTCACTATATACATGTAATAACAAATTTACAAAAGATAACACAGCGCGCAGTAACGTAACGATGTCTATATAATAATCGACAAACATTCGAATCAAGTTTCTGTGGCCAAAAAGAATTTTTTTTTATCCGTTGTATTTAATTGATACCTCTTGCTCCGTTTTTAAATAACAATTTTATTATTTTTCTGCAGATTAAATGGACACGAACGCCAATCACCAAAGCCAAGTTTTAGAGTTATCTCCCTTTTTTATGAAACGTCGCGTGGCGCTCTTTTTAGCAGTGGGGCACATCACATGGAGGAAGAAAATCGGCGAAAAACGCAGTGTAGAAAACTTTTAAAAAGAACAGAGAAAGCAATGTAACAGTTATTTCAAATTTATGCCCCTGGTTGTATTAAGTTTTGATACTTATAACATCAGTAAGCTTTCAAAGACCATGCAGTTAAAAGCTCAGGCAATGTTAAGATGTCGGGGTTCGTTCGTGTGTTCGTTTTTGTGTCTGTAATTTTTTTTTCAAAACACTACTGAGCCTTCATCAGTTTTTGTCCTTTTTAAATAAAACTTTTCATGCGACAGACAAGATCAATTCTGTATATTAGCATTTGAATAAAATTCGACGAAAGTTGTTGCAATGTTTACTATATACATGTACTAAAATTTAAAAAAAAAAATGAAATTCTTTTAAAACGATCATACAGTTTTGGTCCAATTTTGGTACTTTTGTAAATTAAGATACATAATCCTTTTTATTGTTTTATTTCAATTTCTTTTCTTTTCTTTCTTTCTTTTTTTTTTATAATATCTTTAAGGGGGCGGGTATTTCATCTTCTTGTTTTGCAGTCACTGTGGTTAAGTTTTGTTAAATCAATCATTGGTTATCAAATAAAATATCAATTTCATCTGTACTTTTTTTCTACCTCAAATAATGAGTGAAACATTATCTTTATCAATAACTTAAACATGTTTAAGAGTTCAATCCCTATTATCATGATTATTCAACCTAAAACCCTGCTAAAAATATTGTACACCACACCTGGGTTTTTTTTATAATAAGTTTATAATATAATTATTAATTAATATAAATAAGTTTTCAAATATTTCTCATTGTGGAAGTATCAATAATATACTACAATTGAAGAAATTCTTTTAATTTTCTTCAAAAGTTTTATATATATATATATATATATATATATATATATATATATATATATATATATATATATATCAGATATATATATATATATATATATATATATATATATATATATATATATATATATATCAGATATATAAGGAACATGAGGAAAGATTCAACTCACACGTCTTCCTCAAAATGAATCACATTGAAATTATGAGAAAAAAGCACCCAAGCATGGTCACTGCTGAGCAGATCTTTCAATCTGCAACAAACTCGACATAAGGTGGACAAGGATTTGATGTCCAACTTTCTGAAAATTGAAAACAACACATCGTCTGGAAGGTCACAAAAGTTGATGATCCTCTTGTCTAATTCCTTATCGTCCGATTTAATTGCGGTACCAATCATTATTTAAGAAAGCTTGTGTGAAAAACCTTTTGATTTTGTCTTTTTTAAAAGCTAGATTTTGCATTTTAAAGATTGTGAAATAACCAAGTCCGCTTTGTAAGTTGTCATTAGGATTATTTTCATCGATGTAAAAATGGTTCTTCCTAATGAGCAGAAGGAATACCCTAGATAAAGCGTTTAAAAGACTAGTAAATAAAAGAAACCTTTATCTTACAGACGAAAAATATCCGTAATGGCTGGTTTTTTGAAAAATATATGAGAGAGAATACATCAAGGTAAATAAGAACATGTAATTAAAGTTTTGGAATGTACGTCTGTCTTTCCTTAGATTGATTTTTTTTTTGGGGGGGGGGGGGGTAAATGAAACAATTATCTCAAATTTAAATTCATAAATCTGCAGTTGCAGAGTTTGCATAGAGTGACCTCACATGGGTTAGAAAACACAATAATAGAAAATTAGAAATATTTCGTCTCGATGAACAGATGAACTGCTTTAATGAAAAGAAAATATTGATTACGCAATTTAGTAGCAATTTCCGATGTTACGTCTTCTAAACTATGTTTTTCAAATGCAAAATTATGTCCATCACATTTTTTTTTTTTTTTTTTTTTTTTTTTTTGTGAATTTGGTGCCTTAAATAAATATCCGAGCATTGTTGGTGATCTATAATGAACTTGGTTGCTTACCTCTATTTACTCAATGGAAAATTTCATTATATATAAAATTTTGATTAAAATGTATTGGAATCAGAGCATTGTATAATGAAAAGTATATTAAATTTATATAAAACAGATAGACGAGGTTGTCCATAAAGTTAGTGGACAATGGGTTTTTGTCAAAATGAATGGCTCTAGATATACTCTTCGTATACGAAAATATATTTCTTAGGAAAATCCAAGTCAGAAATAATTTGTTTTTTTATTGTTTGAAATTCATATTTTTGTAAAAATCGCGGTCTTTGAAAGGTCGCAGATAGAATGCGCACGGCTTATGGTTAAAATGCTTGAAATAAAGTGTTCTAATTAAAATGATTATTTTCTTCATAAAACAAGTCAAAGCTTAATAAAAATTAAATTATTAAAAATAAAGCGGCTAACGTCATTTTCTGATATCTTTAGTATCGCTTACTATACAGGCAATGAAAATATAAGTAAAAATCGCAAGAAATATGTTTCAAAAATTGACAGAAAAAGCGACGTCAGCCGAGTGAACGGAACAGCGTCCACTCCTAAAATGTTTTAATATGGTATTCAAACAACTTGAACTAATTAGTTCATTGATTTGGAATTGGTATATATGATTTTTAAACGGTTTGTACAAGTTCGGAGACACTACAAGAAGTGGAAAAGCACTGTTATTTGATGAAATTAGGATATTGACGTTGTTATAAATCTAGTGTAAGTCGGACTGGGCTATGCAGCCTGTGTATACGAACGTTTTATGTTGATGACCCTCGTAAATTAATGTGTATATACAGTGTATTGTTTTTTTAATTTTAAAAATTAAATCAATTATGGTCTATACATAAATATTTTTGCACATACTTTACAATGTGGCATGATAAAGAGAATGAATATGTGATAAAAATTCAAAATGCATATTTTTAGCTCACCTGAGCCGAAGCTTGAAGTGAGCTTTTCTGATCAAAATTTGTCCGTTGTCTGTCGTCGTTGTCGTTGGCGTTGTTGTCGTCCTCGTCGTCGTTAACTTTTCACAATTTCATCTTCTTCTCCAGAACCATTGGGCCAATTTTGACCAAACTTGCCACAACGCATCCTTGGGTGAAGGGGATTCAAGTCTGTTCAAATGAAGGGCCACACCTCTTTCAAGGGGAGATAATTAAGAAATAGTGAAAATCTGGTGGGGTGTTTTAAAAATCTTCATCTCAAGAACCACTGGGCCAGGAAAGTTGAAACTTATAAGGAAACATCTTCAGTTAGTGTAGATTCAAGTTTGTTCAAATCATGACCCCTGGGGGTAGGACGGGGCCACAATGGATGATCAAAGCTTTACATAGGAATACATAGGAAACATCTTCTTCTCCAGAACCACTGGGTCAGGAAAGATGAAACTTATATAGAAACATCCCCTGGTAGAGTAGATTCAAGTTTGTTCAAATCATGACCCCTGGGGGTAGGGCGGGGCCACAATGGAATCAAATTTTTACATAGGAATACATAGGAAAATATTTAAAAATCTTCTTCTCCAGAACCACTGGGCCAGGAAAGATGAAACTTATATGAAAACATCCTCAGGTCATGTAGATTCAAATTTGTTCAAACCATGACCCCGGGGTCGGGGCGGGGCCACAATGGATGATCAAAGTTTTACATAGGAATTCATAGGAAATATCTTTAAGAATCTTCCTTTTCAGAACCACGGGGCTGGGAAAGATAAAACTTTTATGAAAACATCGCCCCTTGGGGTGGGGGCAGGCCACAATGTACGATCAAAGTTTTACATGTACATAGGAAAACATAGGAAAAATCTTTAAAAATCTTCTCAAGAATAGCAGAGCCATGATTAAACATATTTATATGGAAGCATCCTCAGGTAGTGTAGATTCAAGTTTGTTCAAATCATGACCCCCGGGGTTGGGGTGGAACCACAATGGACGATCTAAGTTTTACATAGGAATACATAGGAAACATCTTTAAAAATCTTCTCAAGAACAGCAGAGCCATGATTAAACATATTTATATGGAAGCATCCTCAGGTAGTGTAGATTCAAGTTTGTTCAAATCATGACCCCCGGGGTTGGGGTGGAACCACAATGGACGATCTAAGTTTTACATAGGAATACATAGGAAAAATCTTTAAAAATCTTCTCAAGAACAGCAGAGCCATGATTAAACATATTTATATGAAAGCATCTTCAGTTAGTGTAGATTCAAGTTTGTTCAAATCATCCCCCTTCCGTTATGGGTAGGTTAAAACCACTTATAATACTGAACTCCTAGTCAAATGCTCAGGTGAGCGATGTGGCCCTTGCAGGGCTGTGCGGCTTGCATTTACAAAGTATTTTCACCTATAACGATCGTAAAATAGTGTGTACTGTTTTAATTGTTATATATTTGTTGCAGGGGTGGTTTATACTAGATGTAAATAACTCAACTCCTGGCTAAGGGTTCATTATTGTGTTTATTACTGATGTTTATGGAAGTCAATATTATAAACAAAACGGCCCTATAAAATAAAATAATAACAATGAATATCACATGAGATAACAAATGTATATAATATATATTACTTATTCTTATTGATGTACAATAAATAGATTTAACAGTTAAGAGTTATCTCTTCCTTACTTTGAATATTTAGCATATACATAAATCACTGTACAAATATTCTTTACACAAATATTTTACTGCCACATTTCAAGAAATGTAACAATATGTAATTATAACTTAAAATATACAAAAGGTAACATATATTCAAATTACCTCTCTATGGGACAAGGCCCATTCCATAAAACATAGTAAATAGCCTGGATGCGTCATACAGGTCTACATATCTAATAACAAATACTGTACACTATACTATACATACTATAATACTCATAATTCAAATAAATTTATACTCTGAGGTAAAATGCTTTAAATTTAGTTTTATTCATATTTAAACTTTCACTCTTCTTTCAAACAGTGATATTAGCTAGATAGAAATATTATAAAGATATAGAACGTTAAACTTTATACTTACTGTCAGATCTGGTCTTAAAGGTCTCAAAGTCTTTGTCTTTGTCTAAAAATTCTCTTGTTACAAAAACCACAACTATCCTGACCAAATTCTCTGAGTAGTCCATCTGAGAACAACTCAGAACCACCAAAACTTACAACCAATAAAATTACAGAACCCTAATGTCATAACCTTTGAACTCTATCGCTCACCAAGTAAATAAAGGGGTGGATCTGGGTTTTGTATTAAATCATAAAATCTTATTTAATTTCATTTATATCAATAATATTTATTCAAATATTATGTGATATACATTATATACAGTTAAAACACACTGCTACATTCTTCCCCTCCTCCGAAAAATGACGTCCTCGTCATTCTCAATGAAGAATGTAAAATTTAAAATCATGTTAAAATTATAATACAATTCACTGAAATTTACAAATTCAAGTTTTCTTTACAATATCGAGTAAAGTTTTTAAAATCTCACCTCGTTCAAATCCTTGACATCTTTCATCTTGAAGAATGTTCTGTAGTAACTTTGCTTTCTCAGACCAATGCGGATCAATATTCGCCTGTTGTAATCGCACATAATTTCCACTTCTTAACCAATCTGGCTCTCTTCTAGGCCTGGTTGACCTGCGTGGAGCAGCAACAGGTGAACTTATGTCATCTAATCCTGGTTCACTTTCATCTGCTGGTTCAGCTTCTTCTGCTGGTTCAGCTTCTTCTGCTAGTTCAACTTTATCTTCCTGTTCAATAACAGGTGCTGGTTCAGCTTCAGATTCTGGATCATCTGCTTGTGGTGCAGGTTCCATAGCAGTCTCTTTATCTGCATTCTCTTGCAATATATCTTCTCCAATCTGATGGGCGTCCCCAACTGTTTGGAGATCTTCATCAACAATCCCAATTTCCGTCTCAACTTCAGGTAACACAATGTTAGGGGCATCAATGTGATGACGTTGTGTTCCATCTGGTATTGTTATATAGACTGCTTCTTCATCATCTGTATCTGACTGGGTATCGACAGTGGACTGTGTGTCACCGTTTTCCCTCTTGTTCTGTCTAGTCCTTGGCTTTGGTGTAGGTTTCCGCATTGCTGGAATAGGTTTCTCTTGTTTGGAATCTACCTTTGGTTGAAACTCTGTAACATGTCCAATGGGTAAGAGTAGGTTTCTATGAAGTATCCTTACTCTACCAGCACCGTCTTCTCTCTGAACTTTGTAGACAGGGATCCCTTCATTTGGTTGGCTAATCACCAGATAGGGTTCTTCTTCCCATTTGTCTGCAAGTTTATGACGTCCATCATAGGCCACAATCTTAACCAGGACTCTGTCACCAACTTCTAATACAGCTCCTCTGGATTTAAGATCATAGTTGTCCTTTTGTCTTTGCTGTGATTTTCTTGCAGCTTCTGATGCCAACTGATAAGATTTCCTTAGTCGCTCTTTCAAGTTGTCTATGTACTTTGTAAGGGATGCTGATTTCTGATTTCCTTTATCTAATCCAAATTCAATGTCAATTGGCAGATTAGGTTCTCTTCCAAACATAAGATGATAAGGCGAAAATTTTGTAGTTTCCTGTTTCATGCAGTTGTATGCATGTACAATGGGAGCTATGTAAGATTTCCAGTCTGCTTTTCTTGATTGTTCTAATGTTCCTAACATGTTTATTAAAGTCCTGTTAAAGCGCTCACAAAGTCCATTCCCCATCGGGTGGTATGGTGTAGTTCTTGATTTTGAAATGCCGAAAAGTTGACATAATTCCTTGATAAGTTTACTCTCAAAGTTTGCACCTTGATCAGAATGAATGCGTTTGGGGAGTCCATAGTGTACTATAAAATTGTTGAAAAATGCTTCCGCTGTTGTTCTGGCTGTTGTGTTTCTAGTTGGTACGGCGATGGCAAAACGGGTAAAATGATCCGTTATCACAAGTACATTTTCATAACCTCCCTTACTTCTCTCCAAACACAGGAAATCCATACACACCAGTTCAAGCGGCTGCGAGGTGATGATGTTGGTAAGTTCAGCTTTGTCCTGGGCCGGTGTTTTCCTAAGTATACATCTTCTACATTCTGTAATCCAGTTTTCTACATCCTTGTACTGTCCAGGCCAGAAGAATCTATCCCTAAGTAAACCTAATGTCTTCTCTCTTCCAGGATGTCCCATGTTGTTGTGTAGAGACTTCAGTACATGGCCTACTAAGTTTGAGGGTACAACAAGCTGATTGACTTTGTTCTCATCCACCTTAACTTCTCTGTACAGGATGTTGTTAATTAGCTTTAGTTTGTCAAAGTTTCTAAACAATATGGTGTCTGCAAAGGATCCTGATAACTCACTCTTCTTTGGCTTGTATCCATCATAAATACTCTGTATCCAGGGTAATAGTTCAGGGTCATCTTGTTGAGCCTTTGCAATATCAAACCTCATCAAGCCATGTGGATCTTGTAACTGGGCAAGTGGTCGTTCTGAGATGGAAATTGATTCTATGCAAGGTGTTGTTTGTAACTTGCTGATGGCACTGATAGAATCAGATGAGATGGTAACCATTTCTGTACTGTTAGGCTCCAATCGTGATAATGCATCTGCCGCTGCGTTGTTCTTCCCTGGTCTGTATTTGATGTCGAAATCATAGGCAGATAATGCTGCAACCCATCTGTGGCCTGTTGCGTCTAATTTGGCATTGGAAAGGATGTAAGTTAATGGGTTGTTGTCTGTAATAGCAGTAAATTTGGATCCATATAAATAATCCTTAAACTTCTCTGTGATGGACCATTTCAAAGCCAAAAACTCAAGCTTATGGGCAGGGTAATTTCGTTCTGCAGGTGTAAGTCCTCTACTAGCGTATCCAATGACTCGCTTCATCCCGTTCTGTTCTTGGTAAAGAATGGCACCAAGTCCTCTGGAACTTGCATCAGTATGAAGTTCAAATGGCAGTGTCATGTCTGGATAGCCAAGTATGGGCGGTGATGTTAAGTGCTGGCGTAGAACATCAAAAGCCTCTTGTTGATCTTTACCCCATTTCCATGTCACTGATATCTGTTGTTTTCTTCTTTTCTTTGAAGACTGTGGACTAGGTGTTAAATCTGTAAGTGGTCTGGCAATTTTGGAAAAATTCTTAATGAATTTCCGATAATAGCCAATGAATCCTAAAAATTTTCGTACTTCCTCGGGTGTTCTTGGTACTGGCCATGACTTCACTTTATCCACTTTGTCTGGGTCTGGTGATATTCCCTCTGCAGAAATAATATGTCCAACATATTTAACCTTAGTTTTGAAGAATTGGCATTTGGATGGTGATAGTTTTAATCCAGAATTCCGTATTCTTTGTAAAACTTTGTCTAGCCTCTCGAGATGATCCTCAAATGTCCTTGAAAACACGATAATATCATCCAAGTAAATTAGGCAAATACTAAGGTTAAGATCTGCAAATATGTCTTCCATCAGCCGTTGGTAGGTGGCGGGCGCATTGGCTAATCCAAATGGCATTCGTTCATACTCGAAGAATCCAAGTGGGCCTACAGTGAAGGCTGTGCGCTCCTTGTGCTTTTCCTCTATCTCTATTTGATGATAACCACTCTTCATGTCAAGGACTGTGAAATATTTGTTACCATGAAGAGAATCTAAGATGTCATCAATTCTAGGAAGAGCATACGCATCCTTTACTGTCCTCTGATTTAACTGTCTGTAGTCAATGCACATCCTTAGTTGACCACTCTTCTTCCTCACTAACACCACATTACTGGCCCATGGTGACCTTGATCTCCTGATGACACCACTTGTTAGAAGTTGTTGTATGTGATTCCTCAGTTCATCAATCATATTGATTGGAATCTTTCTGTGTCGCTGTTTGAATGGCACTGTATTTGTAAGTTCTATCTGATGTTTCACTCTTGCTGTAAGTCCAATGTCCTCATCATTTTTGGAAAATACATCATTGTATGTCTTTATTAGTCGAACTGCTTTCTGTAGTTCTGTTGCATCCAAGTTACTATCTTCAATCTTTATCTTTTCCATGATGTCAAAATCTGGCATTTTCTCTCCAGTAAACTGCTTCTGACTTTCCACTGTAACAGGCTGGAGTTCACATAATAACGCTTTTGGTGGAACTGTAACTGTCCTAGTTGATACGTTCGTTATGTGGATAGGCACTAGTTCAGTATTTTGGTAATGGTATGAGACAAGAGTAGGGGAAATATCCAAATCATCAGGAATAAACGATGAAGTTGTTGGTTGTACAATAGCACACACTGGTTCATAATTAACTTTCTTGTCCAGGTAACCATTAATTACAACTTCACTGTTGGCAGGTATAGTTATCTTCCTACTCTCTGCTGATCTGATGAAAGCTAGAATGTCTCTGTTCTTGGCAAGTTCTCTTTCACGCATTACCAAGCATCTCATGGACAGGTACCATGGCGTATACATGTCTGCTCTCTGTAAAAATTGGTTTCCATACATATCCTTGGTAGTCTCCATTATGATGCACAGTAGGTTTGTCCCAATAAGAACAGGAACCTTCAAATTATACGCACTCTGTGGAACAACCAGGAACAAACAGTTATTCAGTAAGGGGAATGATGAAATTCCCGATATCTGTACATCCAGTGAAATGTATCCTGAATATGGAAGTTGTAGTCCATCTGCACATTCCACATTCAATGCAAAGTCTAAAGATTGCAAGGGAATTTCAGGGAAATGTTCCTTGTAGAAAGTTTCACTGATGGTAGAGACGGTTGATCCAGTGTCAAGTAGTGCAGTGGTTGCAACATCAAAAATCTTGACGGACACTTCATTACACTCTCCAATCAATGATGATTTCTTATTGTAAGTCTTTGAGGATGGTGTATACTGCTGATGTATGTATCCTCGTTCTGAAGACTTCCGAGTGTAGTAGGGTCGTCTCTTGTGGTGCGTAATTACTCGACATCCAATCGCAATGTGACCATGTTGTCCACATTTGTAACACACAGGTTCATTCACTGTATAATGGTTTGGATTATCATATGGTACATAGGATGACGATGACACAGTTCCAATGTTCATTTGTTCATGATCCTGCCTATTTACGATAGAATTATCTGTGTCTGACTTCATGGACATCTGCATGGTGGTAGAACTCACATTGTCATTAGTGTCTTTCTTTTTCACAGATTTCTGTCTCTTGTGTGAATTCTGTTTCTCCTCTGACTCCATAAGATTTCTGTTTTGCGTAGGACAATCACTATCAACCAAGTGTTCTTGTTCCACTCTCCTCAAAGCCACTAACAGTTCATCGAAACTTTGAATGCTGTCGTACAGATATCCAGTTATGTGCTTCAGTGAAGGTTTGAGTCCAATCCATAACATGTTGTGTAGCATTAAATTCCTTTCTGTATGGTCAATGTCCTTAGTCTGACATACTTTACACATAATGTCCTCCAACCTACAACTCCATGATGTAACATTTTCACTGGGTTTCTGTCGTGCTGAATAGAAATCAGCAAGAATAGCCTCAGCCCTATCGACAAGTCCATATACACTGTCCAACCTAGCGAGAATGTCTGATAGAGTTGCTTCGACACCTAGGTTCATGACAGTTCTGCTGGCTTCTCCTTTCAGGGACTGTCGAATGGCTTGAAGTATTTTATCTGTAGGATATCCTTCTTGCATTAAGCATCGAACTTCATAGTGCCAAACCTGAAATGAAGTTGCACCTTTTCCTGAAAACAATGACAATTTAGGAATATGTATAGGCCAAACAAATTCATGATAATCTACCATCCAATCGATAAAACTTTGAGGTGAATCTACATTTGGTTTAACATCTAATTCTTTAAAAGCTGTGACAATATTGTCAATCTCTTTTGCTGAAAACTCCATGATACTACTGTATGTAATTTCACTATCACCTATGAGATGAAAACTCAGAGTGTCTATGGTGACATACAAAGTACACAAAATGGTACAGATCAGTGTGAAATACATATGTCAATTATTCTAAGTTCAATCATTCTCATAACACAAAGTACATGGCAGCAACACAAGCATGCAGCATAAAAACTATAAAATATTTGCATAATCAATGTAAACAAACCCCTTCCTGTAACCAAGCAGTATTTCCGGTATGTAAAGATGCACTTCCGGTTTGCAGAACATGTAAACGAATATGTGCAATTTTCAAAGACAAAAAAAAAAAATACACCTCAAAAAAATGTTTGTCAATGTATGCAAAGTATTTACTAATAATTCCTGAAAGAAAAAAAAAATAAATCTGCAATAAAGAATTACTGAAACAGAATTTTAATTACATGCTGAGAATGCTAACACTTCAATAGGAATTTGTTCCAACTTTAAGCTTGTCAAATAACAACACAAACACGTAAAGTTGACAGAGGTCTAACTGTCAACGAAATCTGGCAATTGTATGGACTAAAATTTATTTCAGCTAACCCAGACGAACAAGTGTGATAACAGTAAGTAAAATAACTTCACTGTGTATTTTGAACCAATTACTTTACCTAAATGACTGAGAAAAGAAACAAAATATTTCTCTAACTTCTTCACAAAAACATCAAAACAAACCGACTTCCGGTGAAATTCTAGAAGCGGACCTCGAACCCGATCTTAATGATTGTGATCACAACACGATAACGGGCGCGGATCTCAGTACTTATTTCTACAGTAAATTTTAAATTACCTGTACAAAGCTTGTGGGGTATAAAAGATGATTATGACAGACAAACACTGATCAGATTCTAGTAACTACATATCTACACAAAACTGCAGGAACTAACAAACCACAATGCAAACAACTGACCAATTAAACTCACTGACTAAACTATATACACCAGTCAAATTTTATGTCACTGTCAATAAGGTCAGTAAACTTTTTGGTCACATATTAGTGCTAAGAAGGATAAGCTGGAAAAAAAATGGAGAAACTGAATGCTGTGCTCGGGACTTTCTCACATAACTTTCACAAAATTTACTTTACTTTAAGTGATTTAATTCAAATGAAAATTATTTAACCAGATATCACTGATAAAAAAAATTTACACAATGAATTTACAAAAAAAATTAACTAGAAATTTTTCAATCAAAAAAATTAGAAAAATAAACTATGGCCAAAATACAAAGATAACCAGTACTGGATTTAAAACCCAAAATTTGAATAAAGCAAGAAAAATTTACATTTTACATTTTAGAAATCAAGGGTAATCAAACAAAAAAATATTCAAAACCTTTGCAAATTAAATTACAGCATTCACATGATTTACACACTATCTGCGAAAGATTTAAAAACAACTGTATGGCATGCCTGTAAAAATTACATGTACCTTGTAAACAGTGTCTACACAATACCTCTACTGGCCAGGTTTAAAGTCACTGAAGTTAACAGCTGTTACTCTTATGCGGACACAAGTTCACTGAAATGTCACAGTTTGTCACACTCCATCGAATTCGCTGCATCACTCATATGTATACGCTGACCTGTCCATCACGTCTATCGTGGTTGAAGTCATCCTGTCCCAACGTGGGCGCCAATGTTGCAGGGGTGGTTTATACTAGATGTAAATAACTCAACTCCTGGCTAAGGGTTCATTATTGTGTTTATTACTGATGTTTATGGAAGTCAATATTATAAACAAAACGGCCCTATAAAATAAAATAATAACAATGAATATCACATGAGATAACAAATGTATATAATATATATTACTTATTCTTATTGATGTACAATAAATAGATTTAACAGTTAAGAGTTATCTCTTCCTTACTTTGAATATTTAGCATATACATAAATCACTGTACAAATATTCTTTACACAAATATTTTACTGCCACATTTCAAGAAATGTAACAATATGTAATTATAACTTAAAATATACAAAAGGTAACATATATTCAAATTACCTCTCTATGGGACAAGGCCCATTCCATAAAACATAGTAAATAGCCTGGATGCGTCATACAGGTCTACATATCTAATAACAAATACTGTACACTATACTATACATACTATAATACTCATAATTCAAATAAATTTATACTCTGAGGTAAAATGCTTTAAATTTAGTTTTATTCATATTTAAACTTTCACTCTTCTTTCAAACAGTGATATTAGCTAGATAGAAATATTATAAAGATATAGAACGTTAAACTTTATACTTACTGTCAGATCTGGTCTTAAAGGTCTCAAAGTCTTTGTCTTTGTCTAAAAATTCTCTTGTTACAAAAACCACAACTATCCTGACCAAATTCTCTGAGTAGTCCATCTGAGAACAACTCAGAACCACCAAAACTTACAACCAATAAAATTACAGAACCCTAATGTCATAACCTTTGAACTCTATCGCTCACCAAGTAAATAAAGGGGTGGATCTGGGTTTTGTATTAAATCATAAAATCTTATTTAATTTCATTTATATCAATAATATTTATTCAAATATTATGTGATATACATTATATACAGTTAAAACACACTGCTACATATTTACTAAATCATGGTCTATATTAAAATATTATCGTCCAGTGCGGACTTTTTAAAGAAAATTATAGCATTTGTCCAAGGACGTTATGGACAACCCTCGTATGTTTGAAAGAATTGAGACATGTCCTTGTACAAAATATAATTGGTTACTTAATGTAAAATATATACTACTTTCATCAGGGTTCAAGAATTATTTTATTCATGATATAGTAATACACAGAAGTTTATATAATGAACATGGATTGAACAGCAGGCAAAAGTGGCCTATATTAGTTCTCTCCATTAGAGATCAAGGTACAAATCATAATGTAACGATGGTATATAACTATTTGTAATTTTACGAGTACAAAGACATGTCATCAGGGTAAGGTGGACAAGGATTTGATGTCCAACTTTCTGAAAATTGAAAACAACACATCGTCTGGAAGGTCACAAAAGTTGATGATCCTCTTGTCTAATTCCTTATCGTCCGATTTAATTGCGGTACCAATCATTATTTAAGAAAGCTTGTGTGAAAAACCTTTTGATTTTGTCTTTTTTAAAAGCTAGATTTTGCATTTTAAAGATTGTGAAATAACCAAGTCCGCTTTGTAAGTTGTCATTAGGATTATTTTCATCGATGTAAAAATGGTTCTTCCTAATGAGCAGAAGGAATACCCTAGATAAAGCGTTTAAAAGACTAGTAAATAAAAGAAACCTTTATCTTACAGACGAAAAATATCCGTAATGGCTGGTTTTTTGAAAAATATATGAGAGAGAATACATCAAGGTAAATAAGAACATGTAATTAAAGTTTTGGAATGTACGTCTGTCTTTCCTTAGATTGATTTTTTTTTGGGGGGGGGGGGGTAAATGAAACAATTATCTCAAATTTAAATTCATAAATCTGCAGTTGCAGAGTTTGCATAGAGTGACCTCACATGGGTTAGAAAACACAATAATAGAAAATTAGAAATATTTCGTCTCGATGAACAGATGAACTGCTTTAATGAAAAGAAAATATTGATTACGCAATTTAGTAGCAATTTCCGATGTTACGTCTTCTAAACTATGTTTTTCAAATGCAAAATTATGTCCATCACATTTTTTTTTTTTTTTTTTTTTTTTTTTTTTGTGAATTTGGTGCCTTAAATAAATATCCGAGCATTGTTGGTGATCTATAATGAACTTGGTTGCTTACCTCTATTTACTCAATGGAAAATTTCATTATATATAAAATTTTGATTAAAATGTATTGGAATCAGAGCATTGTATAATGAAAAGTATATTAAATTTATATAAAACAGATAGACGAGGTTGTCCATAAAGTTAGTGGACAATGGGTTTTTGTCAAAATGAATGGCTCTAGATATACTCTTCGTATACGAAAATATATTTCTTAGGAAAATCCAAGTCAGAAATAATTTGTTTTTTTATTGTTTGAAATTCATATTTTTGTAAAAATCGCGGTCTTTGAAAGGTCGCAGATAGAATGCGCACGGCTTATGGTTAAAATGCTTGAAATAAAGTGTTCTAATTAAAATGATTATTTTCTTCATAAAACAAGTCAAAGCTTAATAAAAATTAAATTATTAAAAATAAAGCGGCTAACGTCATTTTCTGATATCTTTAGTATCGCTTACTATACAGGCAATGAAAATATAAGTAAAAATCGCAAGAAATATGTTTCAAAAATTGACAGAAAAAGCGACGTCAGCCATTCGAACGGAACAGCGTCCACTCCTAAAATGTTTTAATATGGTATTCAAACAACTTGAACTAATTAGTTCATTGATTTGGAATTGGTATATATGATTTTTAAACGGTTTGTACAAGTTCGGAGACACTACAAGAAGTGGAAAAGCACTGTTATTTGATGAAATTAGGATATTGACGTTGTTATAAATCTAGTGTAAGTCGGACTGGGCTATGCAGCCTGTGTATACGAACGTTTTATGTTGATGACCCTCGTAAATTAATGTGTATATACAGTGTATTGTTTTTTTAATTTTAAAAATTAAATCAATTATGGTCTATACATAAATATTTTTGCACATACTTTACAATGTGGCATGATAAAGAGAATGAATATGTGATAAAAATTCAAAATGCATATTTTTAGCTCACCTGAGCCGAAGCTTGAAGTGAGCTTTTCTGATCAAAATTTGTCCGTTGTCTGTCGTCGTTGTCGTTGGCGTTGTTGTCGTCCTCGTCGTCGTTAACTTTTCACAATTTCATCTTCTTCTCCAGAACCATTGGGCCAATTTTGACCAAACTTGCCACAACGCATCCTTGGGTGAAGGGGATTCAAGTCTGTTCAAATGAAGGGCCACACCTCTTTCAAGGGGAGATAATTAAGAAATAGTGAAAATCTGGTGGGGTGTTTTAAAAATCTTCATCTCAAGAACCACTGGGCCAGGAAAGTTGAAACTTATAAGGAAACATCTTCAGTTAGTGTAGATTCAAGTTTGTTCAAATCATGACCCCTGGGGGTAGGACGGGGCCACAATGGATGATCAAAGCTTTACATAGGAATACATAGGAAACATCTTCTTCTCCAGAACCACTGGGTCAGGAAAGATGAAACTTATATAGAAACATCCCCTGGTAGAGTAGATTCAAGTTTGTTCAAATCATGACCCCTGGGGGTAGGGCGGGGCCACAATGGAATCAAATTTTTACATAGGAATACATAGGAAAATATTTAAAAATCTTCTTCTCCAGAACCACTGGGCCAGGAAAGATGAAACTTATATGAAAACATCCTCAGGTCATGTAGATTCAAATTTGTTCAAACCATGACCCCGGGGTCGGGGCGGGGCCACAATGGATGATCAAAGTTTTACATAGGAATTCATAGGAAATATCTTTAAGAATCTTCCTTTTCAGAACCACGGGGCTGGGAAAGATAAAACTTTTATGAAAACATCGCCCCTTGGGGTGGGGGCAGGCCACAATGTACGATCAAAGTTTTACATGTACATAGGAAAACATAGGAAAAATCTTTAAAAATCTTCTCAAGAATAGCAGAGCCATGATTAAACATATTTATATGGAAGCATCCTCAGGTAGTGTAGATTCAAGTTTGTTCAAATCATGACCCCCGGGGTTGGGGTGGAACCACAATGGACGATCTAAGTTTTACATAGGAATACATAGGAAACATCTTTAAAAATCTTCTCAAGAACAGCAGAGCCATGATTAAACATATTTATATGGAAGCATCCTCAGGTAGTGTAGATTCAAGTTTGTTCAAATCATGACCCCCGGGGTTGGGGTGGAACCACAATGGACGATCTAAGTTTTACATAGGAATACATAGGAAAAATCTTTAAAAATCTTCTCAAGAACAGCAGAGCCATGATTAAACATATTTATATGAAAGCATCTTCAGTTAGTGTAGATTCAAGTTTGTTCAAATCATCCCCCTTCCGTTATGGGTAGGTTAAAACCACTTATAATACTGAACTCCTAGTCAAATGCTCAGGTGAGCGATGTGGCCCTTGCAGGGCTGTGCGGCTTGCATTTACAAAGTATTTTCACCTATAACGATCGTAAAATAGTGTGTACTGTTTTAATTGTTATATATTTACTAAATCATGGTCTATATTAAAATATTATCGTCCAGTGCGGACTTTTTAAAGAAAATTATAGCATTTGTCCAAGGACGTTATGGACAACCCTCGTATGTTTGAAAGAATTGAGACATGTCCTTGTACAAAATATAATTGGTTACTTAATGTAAAATATATACTACTTTCATCAGGGTTCAAGAATTATTTTATTCATGATATAGTAATACACAGAAGTTTATATAATGAACATGGATTGAACAGCAGGCAAAAGTGGCCTATATTAGTTCTCTCCATTAGAGATCAAGGTACAAATCATAATGTAACGATGGTATATAACTATTTGTAATTTTACGAGTACAAAGACATGTCATCAGGGTTTGGAGAAGATTATTACAAACAAAAATCTGTTTTTAGAAATTTTTAAACAAAGATTATTTAATTGTTTTCAATAAGAATGTGATGCCTTTTTTTTTTATTGTCGAAGTGTTTTTTTGTGTAGATATCTAACAAATAAGTTGTGTATGCAGTCCTACCTCCAACCAAGTATATTCAATTGGTTGCAAAATATAGACTATATGTGCACATTTATTTATGATTGAGAGGGGAACCTTTACTTATATTCCTAGAGAGAATAAAGGACGACCACGCAGGATTCAAATTTTACAAAATGTATTCATTTGATGAAGAACTATATGTTTTAGTGACATGTACCGAACTTTGTGATTGTTATGATACCTTGATAAAATGATATTCAATATAGTAAGAAAAGTTTAAAGGAAAAATTAAACGTATATATACACGCACGTACACAATGCTGAAAATTTATCAAAGACTTTAGATTAATCTCATATTGATGAGCATGATCGTTGTTGAATGTTATTTGAGATGAGCAGTCAGATCTAAAGGATAAAGTTAATATTACCTTCGTGTCATGTAAAGATACTATAAATCTGAAAAGTTAATGAAATAGTATATCTTGCAAATCACAAGTCAGGACGATGTGACAAACTCTTCCAATTTTAGGTACTTCAACAGATGCGGGATCACACAAGGTGTTGAGGGAGGATAGGGATTGAATTACAGGGTACACATGTACCGAAGTTTGATTTCGGTTTTTTAAAATTCAGAATTAAAAAAAAATTATCATGTTAAAGGAGAACAGTAGTAAGTGTTGAGTTGTCGACGAGATATTGATCACGTTAACAGCATAAAATATAAATAATAAAAGTAA